GATGATTGACAACATGGCCATCCTATCTTGGCCAGGTCAGGATTGAACATGGCGCAGTCAAGATTGATAACATGGCCAAGTCAAGATTGATAACATGGCCAAGTCAAGATTGATAACATGACCATCCAATCTTAGCCGGGTCCCCAATGTTGCCCTTACAACATGACCATCTATCTTGGTCGGTCATGATTGCATGTATATTACTTCCAAACGCAGTAAGATTTCTGTAAATGGTAATTTTAGTCATGTGTGTTTTTCTTTATGGTCATGATTGCATTGCGCCAGGATGTATCTTCCAAGCGCTGTCAAGATTGCAAATGCAAAGCGCTTCCCTAACAACGAAAACCCGCTAAAAACATGAAAAATGTCTCTCTCTGACAGTTTTTGAATTTTTCCATTTCTTACTAATTATGGCGTTGTCAGTGTAAAGTACATTGACTTTATCAAAGGTGTTTTCATGTATGTTATCAAATCTTGATTAATTAAATATGGCCATAACATGTTATACTTGACTTGGTCATGTTATGTTATCAATCCTGTCGGTAGAGCGCCAACATAGGATGGCCATGTTGTCTCTTGACTTGGTCATGTTATCAATCCTGAAGCCATGTTATCAATCCTGTGGTCAGTTCGAATAAAAATCGCCATGACTTGGTCTGGATAAGATGGCCATGTTACCAATCTTGACTTGGTCAACATTGAATCATGACTTGGTCAGGATAGGATGGTCATGTTATCAATCTTGACCTGGTCATGTTATCAATCCTGACCTGGTCAAGATGGTAAAAATCCTGACCTGGTCATGTTTAAATCTTGACATGGTCAGGATTGATAACATGACCAGGTCAAGAACGTTTTTCAAAATATATAGAACATAAAATTTGGTCATGTTGTCACTTATTGACACATCTTTGGATGGTCAATCAATCTTGACTTGGCCATGTTATCAATCTTGACTTGGCCATGTTATCAATCTTGATGTGTTCACCTGACCTGGCCAAGATAGGATGGCCATGTTGTCAATCTTGACTTGGTCATATATTGACTAACATTTTCATCAATCCTGGCACTTGGTCAAGATGGAAATGACCTGGCCAAGATTTGGCCATGCTGTAAAATCCAAGTTACCATGTTACCAATCTTGCCAACATTGATAATATTTTGAAAGTGGTGATGTTATCAATCCTGACCAGGTCAAGATGGTAAAAATCCTGACTTGGTCACAAATCTTGACATGGTCATTGATTATGTTTTTTCAATGAAATATATAGAACATGACATGGGGGTCCCCTATAGCTTTCCATATGATGCATCTGTAAACAAAGTTCATGTAACCGATAGGTTTAAATCTTTTAAACCTTTTCTTTTAAAAAATAATAATTGGCCTATTTTTGCCCTTTGAAAGGTGAGTTTTTATCAGATGTTGCCATGTAAGGAAACTCCTTAATTTATGAGCTTACAAAAATAGTCACTGTGTTTATTCTGTAAATGATTCTTAGTTCCAAAGAAATTCACACAAAGCGCAAAATTCTCTCTCTGATCCTTGAACTTCCATTTACTTGGCGTCAATGTAAAGTACATGGCTGCAAGGTATATGTACTCTTAATTAAATATCCATAACAGATACATCTCAGTCGGTAGAGCGCTCGCTTCTTGATTGGAAAGCCGTGAGTACGAATAAAAATCGCCATGCACTCGACATTTTGAAGTGAAAGTGTTTTCCTTATTGACACATCTTTTGGAATACGAAACTGGTTCCACGTATTACAAGTGATTTTTTTTTATTTTCATAACTTTCGGAGGTGGAAAACGACATTTTTTCCTACAGAATCCAAGTTGCCAGTAGCCAAATATATTTTGAAAGTATGATTGATGATGTCTTGACATTACTTTTATCTACCAAAAACTGTTCACAAACATGCAGCTTAACTTTTATGCAGCAGCGAATAGAAATAGTCACTGTGTTCTATAGTGGGCAATAAGGTTTCTGAAATCGCATTCTTATCCAGGGGGCCCGTGTAGGTAAAGAAAAATAAACGATGCTTTGCTTATTATGTTTCCTTCTTATGAAACTGGTTCAATATCGCTAAAAATTAATTGTGTTTTATTTGTAATAGCTTCTTTAGTGAGCATTTCAAAATCGCTAAATTTACATATTAATCTCGCTAAAAATAAAATACCAGTTTTAAGGACAAATCGCTAAAAATATGCGTCTGGCTAAAATTTCCACTTATACGGTACAAAATAAGTTGGGAACATTCAAATGCTTGGATGCTCGAAAAACTTTTTAATAATATTTGCCCCACTTTATGTTCATTCCTTTGATAAGAGAACTATATTATCAGGTGTTGCTATAGTGTATGTCTATAGAAACCCCTTAATTTATGAGCTTACAATGGCAAAGAGCAATATACCCCCAAAATGCTCTTATCTCTTTTGCATTTGTCTACTTTTGTTGGCTTCATAGCAATCCACACAATGCGCAAAATTGTTTCTTTAATTTTCTTAGTTCTATGTACTTGAGTTTCAGAAGTACATCGGAAATTATCATACATTGTGCTCACTTCGGGGCCTATGAAACCCAAGGGTATGCACATGCACTGAAATAGGCATTCATAACAAATAAATGCTATTGTTTTACATGTAGGTATGAAAATGTTTTGAAAAAAAGTCAAGCTGTGACTTGCTATAACAAAAAAAGGTGATAAAACAAAGAAATTAAATCTCTCGTTTAAAGTCATCTTTTTGCAAGTCCTATGCTCGATCCATTGACCTTGTCAGCAAATACAATCTATTATTTAATCAAATGCTTATTGGCGTTTTCACTCCAATTGTTAGTCAGCTGCTGACTAAAAAAGTTTTTCATACTAATTTTAAAGCCATTATTTAAACATTGAATTGTAGACGGATTTTTCCATCTTTCTGATCAATACAAGGAGAGCACACTGCGGGGGGGGGGGGGGGTAGTCGGCAGGGGATGCTAACTCCTCCATAGCACCTGATCCCACCTCTGATGTATTTGAGGTCCGTGTTTATTCTGCTTCTGATTTGTATTGTTTAAATGAACATTTGAGTTTAAATAATGTTCGTCATTTCCATATTTCATCGCTAATAACCAGGTAAAATGTTTAAAGATTTAAAAATTCGCTCAATCTCAGTTGTCTAAGAAATGCAGAAAATTTTGGCATTTTTTTTAACATTTAAAAGAACAGGAAACACGGATGTCTAGTTCAACGATACATTGTAAGCCTTGTTTTTCGGTCTGCAGTAATATATGTGGCTAATAAGCTAAAAGAAGAATAATTTACCAGCACGTTTTTAATGATTGGTTATATGTTGTTTTAAGTCTCATTCGAGAATTTTTCACACATGTAGAGAAGTCACTATTTACCTGTGAATTTTGACCTTAAATTTTCTCATCTCTCAGGGCCTTTTGTTTGAGCAGTGAGGGTTCTTTATAGTGCCAATGCCTGTCATGGCGTGAGACTTTGGTTTTAAAGGTCTCATTCGAAGGACCCGCAACTTCACTTCGAGAGTCGAGCGCATGGCGAAGGAACAATCGTAACTACTCGCGGTCATTTCCGTAAACACAAATAACTTTTTATCGGTTACGGAAAAGGGCGAGAGTGATCCGATTGGGCGAAAGAACAGATGCTACATCATGTACGTATTGTTGTCATCGACTTAAGGCAGTCGCGGCCGAGATTCGAACTCACGACCTCCCGATCACGGACGAGAGCTCTAGCTACCGACTGTCCAACCGACTGACCAACCGTGAACGGTCTTTCTTAAGGAATTTTAAGTTCGTGTCATTTATATAAGAACTTTAAATTCTTTCAAGCACATATCTTTTGCGAAGCAAAATTTGACACACTTAAATTTTAAACATTTATCTTACCTTATACCAAATAACCTGTCATTTTTGACTATTTTGATGCTAATACACCCACAGCAGAATTAACTGAATTAACAAAGGACCAACAAACCGAAAAATAATCTCGTGGTATCTCGGGTGTTTCTATTAGTAGAGGAAAAAGTGAGGGTTTTCAAATGTACACGATATAAACGCAAAACACGATACACGATTGTAACATAACATAGAATTTAACGATCTTCACAGAACCTGATACATGTAAATGGAAACATGATACGATGCTACTAAACGATCTTCACAATAAAATCAAAACATGATGGAATACGCAAAACCTGATAAACGCAAAACACGATACGATAGGATGCACGCAAGACACGATAGGATACACGCACGATACGATACGATATATAGAATTGTTAATGATAACGTTGCGGGTATTGGCATATTACTGTATAGTTATATAATTAACATGTACTTTTTCAACTATGATATAAAGATGTAAAGTTACTATTTTTTTCATATTCCAGCATTTTTTTAATGAATTTCTTACCTATCTATTTTCTGTCAACATGTAATTGCATTTAAGATTACTTTGGAAAAAGAAATTTGATCGACATATGACTTGTAGTTACGAAATATTACCTCAAATAATATAAAAAGAGATTTCAACAACATTTAAATGGATTTGACAACTAAGCAAAGGTCGTGCTTTAAATGAAATTATTTTCGGAGAGTGTATAAAATGACAAACTGCGCTTTGCATTAAGGATATTTAAAAGTACTGGGAATTCACCTATTAGATGTTTATCATATGTAGAATTCAAATCTGCGTTCTTGAACTTCTTCACTATATCTAATTCGTTCAGTCGATCGAATTGTACATGCATACCATCCCATGGTGAAGGAAAGTCACCTCGACATAAATATGTTTTTAAACATTTTTCTGTTGTGAGGATATTTTTAAAATTCTGATGACAATGAAATTTGTTTTTGCATATTCAATTTCTTTACTGTAAAAATATGTGTTTTTTGTTTATCTATTATGCAGCACTTTAGAAAAACTCTTATGAAAAAGTCACACGTAATGTATTTCTGCGTTTTAAAAAAAAATTCTTTAAGGCATCTTGTGGTTCAAATTTTCCATCCGGCGGCAGGTCCTTGTCTACGTATTAAATTATATTGTTCATAGATTCTTAGTTCATTTTAAAAACCAACGTTTACCTGGCAGTTGAATTTATCAGGTGTTTGTTAAGTCTTTCAATAACGCCGGGTAAAGATAACATTTTGTGGAAGAACTCGGCTCTTCAGAAGGTTCTCTGATTTTTGGTATCTTTGCCGCATTGGATTAACAGTTTAAATGGATAAAAGATAGTGCATGGACTTTTCAGTTTCTTTCGTTTGGTTTTATTGTAAAGTAGAATCTGACCAAAGAGGTTTTTGCATTGACTTATAGTGCCATATGGGAATGTACGTACAAGAATGGCGGAATACGATTTGAAAAGATACAATAGTTATACATCTCCGGAAATGATTGAACCGGAATATAGAAGGAAAGAGTCCGGATGTTTCGTTCGGGTGACTACGGGGTTTATCCTTTTACTACTTGCTTTAATTCTGGTGGCCGGTGTAGCGGCTATCGTTTATTTCGTACAGAAGGACAATTTAAGCAACGATAATAACGATGTTCCTGAAGTTATTTCTCCGGAAAAACTCAAAACTGATTGTGAAGCCCTTGCAGAGGCGGGAAAACTGGATCAAAATAAAGTCTGTGAGTAGAAATTCGACATTTTGTATATGCTCTGTTATGAATTATGTCAAGGTTCCTAATTTCCAATTTCAACTCAGCAGGAAATCTCTTTGAGTTGGCTTTTCAAGGTCTCCAAACATCAAGCAGGAAAAGTTGTATGCAAGAATTATAAGTTATTCATGTGTAAAATATTGCAGTTATGGAAAACTGATACAAATGTACATGAAGTTTTAAATGCATGTATTCATGAGGATATGAATTGTTTATATGAAATATTTGACATGGTATTTAAGGATTATAACTATATATGGATCTAGAATAAGGCAAATATTTGCCCTTTATGAATTCGAAGCTCTAGTATTGCTGATGTATTGAATATTGCAAATCTAGAGTGATACGCATTAATCCAAATGTTTTCTTGTGTGTGTTGGTTAATGTCCTATCAAAGTCCTATCTTTCTTAAGCACTCTACTCTAGATATATGCTCAGGCACTGCATGTACATAATGGAATTTTGTAAACAAATGTAGAAAAGGGAAGATTTTATCATTGCTGTGCAATAATTCACCACTGTACTTCATTGGGCGTCGATCCTTAACGCTGCTGCACCTGTGTTAAAAAAATAACAAAGTATTTCTAAGTTGATTGCCCAGTAGATTGGGGAAAAAATGGATCAAACAAATTGAATTCCGCACTGTCTTCCAAAGTCGTATTTAATTGTACGATAAGTAAACCATGCTTAAATATGCACCATTATAGAAATGCATGATATGAGACCGCTTAGTGGCGGATCCAGGAATCTTGAAAAGGAGGCGGCGACCACTTTTTGGGTCAGGATACGGAGCCCACAGCTAAACCACGAAAATATTAAATCTTATACACTAGTATATTATGTACACAAAAGGGGGAGGGTGCTGGGCTCCCTATTCCGCCAGTGGACTGAATACCTCAATGTAAATATGCGCAAGCGTTGGGTATTCGTGAACTCGTATGCTCTAGTTTGTTTAAGTTATCAAAATGAAGACAGATTTTTTTTAAAGTCGAGGACATATGCATGCTAATATCACCACGATATAAAAATCTTTCTTATTATGAATGGGTGTCCAGTCATGCATTACTGGTACGTGCTTCTCTAGATGCAAATGAATTTCACCTGAACTTTCAACATCGTGCTTTGTATAGTAGTAAATTATCCATCCATGCAAGGAAGTAAACATGTAAATTATATAAATGATTTATACGTACTTTATGTACTTTTTTCATCCATAGGAAGTGTAACAGACAGAAAAACGCATAGGTAAAGAAAAAAATTGGATCACCTCCACTCCACCCACCCCGCCCAATATGCATGCAGTTGTTAGGCAGGCAAAAAATAACCCCCCCCATTTTAGAAAACAAAGAACCATTTGTTAGTTGGTTAGAAGAATAACACTTTTTGAAGCTAGGGAATGGGTTTCTCTCAGAGAAAAGACAGTTTATTAAAAATTTAACACGGGAAAAATTCCATGATCCTCCCCATGATGCATGTAGCTAGGGTATCATTCACTGGCCTCCCCTCTAAATCCGCCACTGCCCAGTGCTTATACATGTACATCCAACAGAATTTGTGCTATATTTTGCAAGTAGACAAAAAAGTGCATGCATGTTTTTATTATGAACATGATTTATACACTGTAATTGATGCAATTATACTTATTAAATTGCTTTTTTTATGTAGTTTAATTATCTGCATTCAGGACCTGTTAATCTCAGTTATTACCGGTATCAATCATTTCACTTCACACCGTTCTCATGGAGTACAGAAAAATTATAGCTTCCTGGATTTTAACTACCCCCACCACACCATGCACACATACATATATAATAAATAAATGAATGAATAAATGAATGAATGAATGAATTAATTAATTAATTACATTTAGAAATAAATAACTTTAGAGGACAGTTTAACTCTTAGCTCTGTTGCTTGAGCCAATAACAACAGGACGTAACTGGCTGCCACAAACTGTATTTTATAAATTTGTAAATTCACTACACGCGTAAATAGGCTCTCGTCCATCCCCCACCCCCACCCCCTGCCCTTATTGCTTGTCCTAAAAAAATCTGAAAGGTCTGGTGGTAAGATAGGAAACTCGTTCTTGTCAAGTAGGCCAGGTACAAGCCCTACAATTTGAGATACCTTTCTAGTGGCTGTTACACAGGGTACCCTGATTTTACCTGACCTCCATGTGATTTCAACATGATCCCCTCTCCATTTTATCAAAGACCCATTGATCTGAAGTAAGACTATCAGACCGGCGTACAGCGGGATAGGGGACAAAAATAGGTGTCTTTAAATTCGATTGCAGTACCTGTATATTTTGGCTTAGTCTATCAAAATAGATAAAACCGTGCTTCTAGAGAGGAGAGAAAAACTTGTAAATTTTTAGTTAGATCTTTGTTACATACATGCATGCATGTAATTCATTTTGTTGCATGTTAATTTATTCATTTTGTTGCATATAAAATTAGCATTAAAGAAATTTGATTTATGAATTCATATTTATATATTATTAAGTTTGTCACCCGAGTTGAATATACATCGGATGATGCATTTGCATTAATATATGTGATGACATTGTAAAGTCATAAAAACAAGCTCAAATAATAACTTTTTGATAGCCCCTCGTATATAATTAAGTTTGTGAGTTGAATATACACGGATAGGGTGACCTAGCTCAATAATAAACAGAGCTCATTTGCTTGCTTAGTAAAACATTGCCCTTTGCATTGCAGTTAGGAAACGTATGTCCGCAATGGGCTATAGTCCGAAATATCTGACGCTTTTTTACGATTTTGATATTTTATGTGCCCGGACGTAAACTATCAAAATCGTAAAAAAAAAAAAAAAGCCTGGAAAACGTCAGATTTTTTTTCGGACTAGCAACATGAGCAATGGGCGTCTAATATTATTATGTACTCTATTACTAAATAAGGACGCCCTCGATTCGTTGTGGCATTTTGCAAATTAAAAAAAACAAAGAAACATTGACTGATTTCATACAAATTACTTCAAATTATTAAAAATTTTCTTTCATTTCAAAGGTGTTGCCTGCCCAACGAAGTCTCCGGCTACGTGCCCGCAATGGACGCCTTCGAAAACGACGCCATCAACGCTCACATCAACATCCCCAACACCAACTCCACCAACGAACTTCCGGTTACCAGATACCTTAATTCCCTTAGAATACGATCTAGCCATCCAACCCAACATGTTCTCCGGAAGTCCAGATTCGTTTGATTTTGAAGGCACTGTAAAAATCAAAATGAAGGTTCGAAAAGCAACTCATGAAGTCATCATGCACGCTAATAATCTGACCATAAGCAACGTTAAGTTTGGTGCCATCTCAGATTCCAAATCTGTACTTTCAAATCCGGATTTTGATCTCGAGCGACAGTTTGTGATCTTTCGATTAAACGAGGTTCTCGATACAAGCAAAATTTACGAGATAGAAATGAATTTTCGCGGACCACTGAAAAATGACATGAAAGGATTTTATCTAAGTTCATATGAAGATGGCGGGCAAACGAGGTACATGAATATATTTGATTTGTTTTTTCACCTTTATATCTTATCTCAATAATGCAACTCTTTTGTCTCTATAAGCTGTTTTTTGAAAAATATATCCTTTTCAACTGATACATAAAATGTATTGATCAGTCGAAAACGATATTTTTAAAAACAATCCTTCTACCAAAAAATGTAGCCCACCATACGTTACAATGTATAGTGGGGTATTTTTTTTCTTTTTGTAGAACGATTGTTTTGGGTTTTTCGCGAATTTTTTCCTATGGCACACATGATGAATAAGTGTAATAATTTATGAAAAAAATGTCCAACAAGTCCCGGGGTTGTTGGCCAGAAAATGAAATTAATAGTCGGATCGTAGTAAGTGTTCACACTACGGATTGAATTTTTTTTTTTTTTTTACAATATTCCTGATCACGTATGGCGAATTCTTATTTTTATTGAAGATAAAAAGGGATGCGTATTGTTTTTTTTTTTTTTTTTTTTTTTTTTAAATATTTTTTTTTATTGAAACTTTCACACATATCACAAGCATTACAAACTTCTGTATGAATATATGTACAATCAAAATCAAACAAGACTAATTATATTTGAAACATACAAAATTAGTGTAAAAGTTTATTAAGAGAGAGAGAGAGAGAGAGAGAGAGAGAGAGAGAGAAAGAGATGCGAAAGGATGCGTATTGGTGCTGTGTAGACATTACTCTTGATCATTTCTTTAATTTTCAAAAAAAAAAAAGAAAATATATGGTTGCTGTGTAAAAAAAAATATTTTATAAAATATATATATATATATAACGATATTTCTTTAACTTTTTTCTTCGAAAGATTACGATGAATGCATTTAGTTTACAAATACATTTATACTGTGATAATTTAAAAATTGTTTTAATTATTTTCACTCAAAATTAGACAGGAAACAAGTGGAGTTGACCCTGATTACTAAACACAGACATCCTGTGTAATGCTACGTGTATAGAGATTTAGAGATTTTTGACATCTTGATTATTGGGGGTCTCCAGGTAAATAACACCACTGTTGCCTAGACGACTCCCCCTCCTCAGGTAACCGCACGGTAAAAAAAAGGGTCTTTCAATTGATTCTTTTATCTCCATGGTTTTATAAGAGTAATGTTATATAAATTCTATTTTATTGAAACAATGAATTTAATCGTGTGAAATTTATGGTGTATTTCGAAAAATGACCTTGATAAGAGTTTACGCACGTTAAGTAGGCCTTACCGTTTTATTGAAAGTTAAATTTTTGATCGGGTTCATGATTCAAAAACATAAATGGCGCGGAATGCAACTCGGAAGCTGCAAAAACATAGTAAAGAAGTGTAGTAAACTAAGGGTGTAGTTAATTAGGCTTAAGGAACGGGTTACATGATTTTTTTTTTTTTTGAATTTAGAATTGTTTTTCATGTTGTTCTTCTGAAGTCTTTAACATGTTTAAATGGTTTATGGAAAAATATAGTCAAAAATCCCCAGATACAGAACTGTGTACATTGTATGACTAAAAATTAGGCCCTATGGCCTATGGTCATGTGGAGATATCCTCTTTCAGTCTTCAAACAATGTTGAAAGAGGATCTATGAACCAAGGTTGCAGAACATACTGAAAGTATCTGTTACAAAAGTAGAAAGTATTCACTTAAGAACAGTTATATTCTTTCTACTAAAAAATATGCATTTTTCTTTATCAGGTACCTGGCAACAACCCAATTTCAGCCAACTGATGCTAGAAAAGCTTTTCCTTGCTTTGATGAGCCGGGATTGAAAGCCAACTTCACCATAACAATAACTCGACCTATAGGCTGGACCTCTCTATCAAATTTAAATATACGTACACAGTCAAGTGTTGGGTTTGTATTTGTCTTGGTTTTAGACCTGTGGCGGTCAGCCGGGTTCGATCGCCGTTGGCCAGATAGCTCAGTTGGTAGAGCACCTGACCGGAGTTTCAGGGGGCCCGGGTTCGAATCCCGGTCTGGTCCGCGGCATTTTCTCATCTTCCATTACATTTGGTGCCTTGCCATGCCCTGGAATGGACAGGTGAAAGGCCTGCCAGGGATGAGCCTGGGTTGGGGTCTTTGGACGGCCAAAGACCTTTAAGGAGGGAGGAATGTGGCGGTCAGCCGGGTTCGATCGCCGGTGGCCAGATAGCTCGGTTGGTAGAGCACCTGACCGGAGTTTCAGGGGTCCTGGGTTCGAATCCTGGTCTGGTCCGCTGCATTTTTTCATCTCCCGTTACAGACCAAAGGATTTTCAATTAATATTATATTTGGAAATTGTACTTTTAGTATGAGATTTCTTGAATATTGACTTTTACTTATATATACATGAATTTCAAGTTCCATGTGTGTTTCAAATGTTTAAATAATTATAAATATAATTGATCATTAATTCTTAAACACAGTAAAAGATCAGTTTTAATTAATTGATTTTAAGGTCATTATGTACAATAAAACACATGCACTTATAACTAAGTGTCAGGGGTGAGAGATGTTGCTTATCTGTTAATGAAAATCATTTTGCTGTAACTGTTAATTCATTTTAAGCATTCTTTGAGCAGGTGTTACTGTCTTAAATGCCCAGATACCTAAATTCTTTCTTGTCATTGTTTTATAGCAGTACTAACTGGGTACATGATGTCTACCACACGACCCCCAAAATGTCCACGTACCTCGTGGCTTTTGTTGTGTCTCAGTTCCAGTCCAAGAGTGGAACATTTACAAATGGCAAAGTAAGAAATATCTCGTTTACTGACATGGCAAAGTAAGAAATATCTCGTTTACTAATGGCAAAGTAAGAAATATCACATATCATTTACCAACGGCAAAGTAAGAAATGTGTCATTTAATAAAGGTAAAGTAAGAAATATCTCATTTATGAACAGCTAAGTAAGAAATATCTCATTTAGTAACGGCAAAGTAAGAAATATCTCATTTACTAATGGAAAAGTAAGAAATATCTCATTTACTGATGGCAAAGTAAGAAATATCTCATTTACTAATGACAAAGTAAGAAATATCTCATTTACTGATGGCAAAGTAAGAAATATCTCATTTACAAATGGCAAAGTAAGAAATATCTCATTTACTAACAACAAAGTAAGAAATATCTCATTTACAAATGGTAAAGTAAGAAATATCTCATTTACAAATGGTAAAGTAAGAAATATCTCATTTACAAATGGTAAAGTAAGAAATATCTCATTTACTGACGGCAAAGCAAGAAAGCATAAAAAATCTAAGAAAACAGAACATTTACCAATGGCAAAGTATGAAAACATCCAAAGTCTAAAAAAAAAAATCCAGAAAATATACTGAAACTTTTAATTCTTAATTCTACATTTCATTTTAAGAAGAATTTTAAGAAGAATGCATGATTTTGTACTTGATGAGAAAGTCAGACGTATTATTCAAGTGACAAAGATTTTTTTCTTCTCAGTATCCCCACCCTTTCTCCATTCCTCACCCCATGTATTTTGTTTTTTTGCACATCTTATCTTCAATGTCACTTGACTTCACAACTTTTTAATCATATTGACTGTGTGTTTTGCCGAATTAATTTTAATTTATTTTAATTGAAATATTTACATTGATAATCATTCAGTCATTTTTAGCTCTACTGGTCAGAGACCAGAAGAGCTTATGCAATAGTAATGCGTCCATCGTCCGTCCGTCTGTCTGTCTGTCTGTCTGTCTGTCCGTCTGTCTGTCTGTAAACAATTTTTCAAAATGCTACTCCTCCTACAGTTTTGGTCTGATTTCAATATAACTTGGCACATAAGTAGACTACACTAAGATACATCATTCTGTATATCGGTTTTTGATTTCGATGAACGATGTTGCCGTGGTTACTAAAAATAGAAATTTCTGTGAAATTCTTTCAAAATGCTACTCCTCCTACAGTTTTGGTCTGATTTCAGTATACCTTGGCACACAAGTAGACTACACTAAGATACATAATTCTGTGTATCGGTTTTTGATTTCGATGAACAGTGTTGCCGTGGTTACTAAAAATAGAAATTTCTGTGAAATTCTTTCAAAATGCTACTCCTCCTACAGTTTTGGTCTGATTTCAGTATAACTTGGCACACAAGTAGACTACACTAAGATACATAATTCTGTGTATCGGTTTTTGATTTCAATGAACGGTGTTGCCGTGGTTACTAAAAATAGAAATTTCTGTGAAATTCTTTCAAAATGCTACTCCTCCTACAGTTTTGGTCTGATTTCAGTATAACTTGGCACACAAGTAGACTACACTAAGATACATAATTCTGTGTATCGGTTTTTGATTTCAATGAACGGTGTTGCCATGGTTACTAAAAATAGAAATTTCTGTGAAATTCTTTCAAAATGCTACTCCTCCTACAGTTTTGGTCTGATTTCAGTATAACTTGGCACACAAGTAGACTACACTAAGATACATAATTCTGTGCATCGTTTTTTGATTTTGATGAACGGTGTTGCCATGGTTATTAGAAATAGAAATTTCTGTGAAATTCTTTCAAAATGCTACTCCTCCTACAGTTTTGGTCTGATTTCAATATAACTTGGCACACAAGTAGACTACACTAAGGTACATAATTCTATATATCAGTTTTTCACTTCAATGAATGGTGTTGCCATGGTTACTAAAAATAGAAATTTCTGTTAAATACTCTCAAAATGCTACTCCAAATACAGTTTTAGTCTGATTATAATATAATGTGGCATGAAAGTAGACTACACTAAGAACATAAAGAGACTTAATCAAGGATCATTATTCTATTTATTGCTGTTGAAAAGTTTCAATTTCCAACTGCCTAAGTATTTTTCTCTTCCTTTGCTCTAAGTACAAACCAGTAGAGCTTCAGTCTCGACAGAGACTTCTGGTTGTCTTAAATGCATCCATCGTTATGCTATGAGTAAGAAGGCCCTCAGTCAACCTGTCACGTATGGTACAAGTATATTAACTAGGCATTTGTTTCAGAAGATGAGAAACTGTATTTGACTATTTCAGACCTACAATGCCTGGGCCCAGCCTTTGGCCATTAATCAGACTGAGGAAGCATTGTATGTTGGGACAAATGTTATCCAGGAGTATGAAAAGTTCTTCAACATCGAATTTCCTCTTCCCAAACAAGGTAGAGATACGTCTTCAAAATATTAAGACAGTATTTAGTCTCTCTTAAAAATGATTAGCTGTAGTTTCCTCTTCCTAAACAGGCTACGGATTTGTCTGTGATATAAAACAGCATTTTGTCTTTCTTTTTAAGAAAAAATAAGATTAGTTTTAGAAAATCAGAAGGGTTGTATTCAGTACAAAAAAGCAATTATTATGTTTTTCATGATTGATTACCCTAGTATCTAGAATAAGGCCATATGCAGTGATAAATTTCACCATAATCTGTTTCAGAAATGATTGCTGTTCCGGACTACCCTCTTGGAGCCATGGAGAACTGGGGCTTAATCACCTACCGCGAGTCCTCCATGCTGTTTGATCCGGAGGTCTCCTCAGAAACTAACAAAGAAAGAGTCACAAAGACCATCACCCACGAACTCTCTCATCAGGTCAGAGGTTAAGGGTCAAATATTAAAGTGTCAAGGGTAAGGGGTCATAGATATCAATTTTGATTTTACTACATACTGTAAAATCAGATATTTCCATGGGATCAAATTTTCGTGGTTTGAGGAAAATATATTGGTTTGTGGGGATTTAAGGCCATTCCAAGTTTTTTTCTCTGTTTAGCGTCCACCCATCTTTCAAAAACCTACCTACCTATTCGCAAAAAACACACAAGCCAAAACATAAAACACAGGCTTAAAAGTCATAAAAATGACGCCCTTCAAATGATTTGATCTAAATAAACTGCTTTAATAGAAGAAATATCTATTCTTAAGCAAAAACAAGGGATTAAATGCTCAAAATACACCTAATATAACTTACAGTACAGAATTATTTGGAGAAATTGACAAAATTCAATAATTTCGACTTAATTATTCAATTTCAGGACTCCTGATATTGTGTGTTTTTTCTTATATGGGGTGTCAAAAACCAAGGCGCACGTGGACGCTAAACATAGAAAAAAACTTGGAATGGCCTAATTTCATGGTTGAAGAATTGTTCAGTAGTAATATATATGTGAAAAAATTCAAAAAATGGATAAATTTGTAGGTCTCTTCATACCTTAAAAACCATGAAAATTAAACCCCCACGAAAGTTCGTGATTTCACAGTATTTTTGTTGCTGGTGAATTACTGCTAAATGTCCTATAGCAGAGTCAGAAGTTTTAAAAAAGGTGACAAATGTGTGAAATAATTTGCATCAAACAACTACAGAAGGTTTTCCTTTGTAAAATGTAATGTAATAAATGTAATATACTTGTGTAGAGTGGATAATGCTAAATGAATTGTGATTACAGTGGTTTGGTAACCTGGTTACCATGCAGTGGTGGGATGACCTATGGCTCAACGAAGGCTTTGCTACATTCATTGAATACTTGGGAGCAGACTATGTACGTCCTGAATGGAAGATCGTAAGTTGAGATGATCTACAAAGCAAGTTTATGAGGATAAACTTAATTTAAGATTCTTCAATGTTATGACTTTTCTAAGTGAAATCGTATTGAGTTATGGCTCCAGGGCAATACAACTAAGATAAAGTTAAAACTCACATTTGATCTCAGTCTTACTTAGACATATCAAAAATGGGTTCATCTAGGATTTTTGACCCTGGAGCCCAAATGTGGGTTCATGTAGATTTGTTGTTTAATTTTCAAGAGATGTTAGCTTTATAAGTAGATGCTTAATGATGGTAATCTTCTTATACTATGTAGGAATTCTAAATCCTTTTGCAGATGGAGTTGTTCACAGTGTCAGAGATGTTCCGGGCCTTTAACAAGGACGGTCTGACGACCTCTCACCCTATCTACGTACCCGTGTCAAATCCCGACCAGATCAACGAAATCTTCGACGATATCAGCTACCAGAAGGCAAAATCACAATGATACTTCGGATTAAAAATTTATTTTAAATACTGCTGATCAGTTAATTTTTGTGACACTTCATTTTCACGAGAATTTTGTTTGTTGTTTAATAGCAAAACAAAATTTTCATGAAATTTGGTTATTTTCATATATAATCTTTAACACATGTAGTAGAATTATATGAGAGAATGAAATTTTGGTGAGCAGAGGGTCTTGCATATTCACATAAAAATAAAGTTCTCACGAATAATAAGAGATTAACAGTGTTTCGTAAGATGTGTTTCTGAGGATCTGAAATTTTAAGTTATAAAAATCTTTTTCTGCTTGCAGGGTGGCTCTGTCATCAGAATGCTCCGATTCTTCATGGGTGAACAGACATTCCTAAAAGGTCTCCAGGTAAAAAATTGTATGAGTATATTTCAGTTTTCATATCTGTTTTATGCATTTGAGCATTTAATGTTTGCTGTTACAAAATGTTCATTTGTAAATATTCTTCATAATCCATATCTGCATGCATATTCTGGAAAAATCTGGGATGAGTTTTATGTTAAAGCAATATGGCTTTTTTTTTCTTTTCATATTCATATTGGTTCCTATATTTTACATCAAATGTGTGTTTATGCATGACCTCTTCTATATTCCGTACTTTATGAATGTTTCGTTTCAGGATTATTTGCAACAGAAGAAATATAGCAGTGCTTTCCATGATGACCTTTTTACTGCTTTAGATTCGGTAAGCAGAATTACTTTAAATTAAATAGTCATAATGTTTTGTAGACTGATGTAATTGTTTGTTAGACATGGCAATATGACAGCATGAATATGTTTAGTATTTATATTGTATGATTTTACTGAAATGTTCTCCGACTTCTAAAAGAATTAATTTTTGAAATTAAAGTAGGTCACAGTGACCTCCTTTGGTTCAAAAGATAATCCAGCAAGTCATATACAACTTATCTCTATTAATTTTGTAATTAACAGGTATTTTAAATACAATAAGTAACATGTACACTGAACAAAGTTCAATCAAACTTTGTTATCTCAAAACCTGATGGGACTGAGAAAAAACTTTGAGATATCCAAGGATTCGAGATATCGAAGGTTAAATACTTAAAGAATATGTGGTTGGGATTTCCACATCACTTTGATATATCCATGGTATTCGTGATATTGGAGTTCAAGATACCAAAGTTCAACTGTATCTATTTGAAGTAATTTGTACCTTGTTTTTATTTTACCCATTATAGAGAGCTCGGAGGGAGGGTAAGACATTACCCGCCACTATTAAGGAGATCATGGACACCTGGATCACACAGATGAATTATCCTGTCGTCAAGGTCTTCAAGAGTTCAAATGGACTCGTCCATGTGGAACAGAAGCGTTTCCTTGTCAACGACCCCTCAACTGACCCCAGGCAGTTTGTTTCCAAGTTCAAGTAAGAGATCTAGAGTGTTATGTACATGTACTTTAAGGGTAGACATGGTATACAAGGAGTGAAGTTCATGCAGATATTTTTTTATACAATCATATTAAACACAAGAGCAAAGCTGCTCTCTTGGCACAGATTAAGGTTTTCATCCCTGAACAGAAACAGGATTTATTGGGTTTAAGAATTGCTACATTTTTCATGAATTTGTTAAAACTGTATTATTTTCATACACAAAAATTCAATGTTCACACACAAATTGAAGTTTGTTTTAGGTATTATAACATGCTGTTTAAAACAGCTAGTGTGTTTCTTTCAATCAAAAAAGGTGTAACCAGTTATATGTTCTCTTACCCAGTTACATATGGAAAATTCCATTCACCTACAAAACCAGCAGGGATTCAAGTTTCAGTGTTACAGATGCAGATGTTAAGTGGATCATGGGGACAGGAAATGGTAAGGAATTTTTTTGTTACAGTGAAAAGTTCTGGCTAGTGGCTGGATAAAGACACCCCCCCCTCTCCAAGAAAAAGTTGATTGCATAGAGAACTTAATCATCTGTAAAAAAAACAAATTAAGAATTTATGCATAAAGAAAATATTCTTTTTACTTGACAATTTTAATAGCAAGTAATTTTTAAATAAAAACTTTAATATTTGTCTCCATAAACTGTACATTTTCCAGAGAAAATGTTAAAAAAAAAACTACCTCCATACAATTTTGTAAAATTAATTTTTCAATTCAGGGACTTTATTTTGTGGTTCCATTAAAAATGTACATTTTCCAGAGGAAAAAGTTTGAAAAAAAAACTTTCTCCGTAATATACATGTTTATTTTGATAAAAACCTTTTTTCCAGACATTCAGGGTAGCTCTTATCCAACAGAGCAGGATGCCTGGATTCTGGGTAATGTCCACCAGTACGGTTTTTACAGAGTTAACTATGAGGAGGCTAACTGGATGGCTCTGATGAAACAACTTAAACAAGAACATAAGGTAATCCTGTAATGCTGAGCTTAAAAAATACTTCAGGACTGACATTTCATGAACATCAGTTAAATTGAACTACTGTAAATTCCTTATTTTTTGCGAGTTCTTATTATCGCGAATATTTATTTGCAAATGGATGATTAATCAAAAGATTTTACGTAGATTTCAGTACCATGAAATATAATCAAATAATTTTATTTTGCGAGTGATGGGTTTTGTGAAATTACACAATAAATATTTCCACGTGCAATAAGGAATCTACAGTTATTATAGCTTGGAACTTTACAATAACGCGACATTAAAATTAACGACTAATTACACAAGTTGCAAGAAAGTTGATTTCTTTTTGCAATGATTGATGTTTATGATTGAGGAAACTTTCTTACAAACACACAGCAAATTGAATGGTTTACAGCAATAAAATTTGCAAGTTAGAGAAATTGGAAAGCTGTGAAACTCGTGGTCATTTCTCACACACTAATAAAAGTTGTTTTATAGTAAAGATGATTTATTTAATGCATCTAAGGCATAATTTATGAGAGTTTTTGATGCTAAATGAATTTGGTACATTAACAGTTACATATAAAACTCCTCTTAACTTACATAAATGTAAATGCTTTCTTTCCATTATTAACAGAGAATTCCTCTTCTGAATCGAGCCCAGATCATCAATGATGTGTGGAACCTGTTAAAGGCGGGGGAGGTCACAGTGAATGTGGCCCTACAGAGTCTGGAATATCTGGACTCCGAGGCTGATTATGTCCCCTGGAGGGCCGCCATTAGTGAGCTAGCTTATCTGTCAGACATGCTCGGGGATACAGAGGTGTTCGGGGATTTCCAGGTGATTTATTTATAAATACCGTATTAGCAGAATTTTTAGCAAGGATTAAATTTGTATGACCAGATTACAAGAAATTATTGAATTAAAATGAGGTGCTTTTGGTAGCATTTTAAAAATGATTTTTTATAATAATAAAGTGCCAATTTTTCATAATTGCCATATTTGTATAACCAGATTACAAGAAATTATTGAATTAAAATGAGGTGTTCGGGGATTTCCAGGTGATTTATTTATAAATTGGATTAATATTTGGTAGAATAACTAGGATGACAAGAAATTATAATGGATGAATTTATAAACATGTTAATAATTTTTTTTTGTAGACTTTTATGAAACAGAAATTAAACAATCTCTTCAAGAAGCTAACACTGGATGACTCCAACTCCACACACGTTGAAACGTAAGCCAGCATTCTGTCCAATAAATTCAAATCTTTTTTTTTGCAGATTTTTTTGAGTACTAGACTAATATTTTCATGAATGTTTATGTATTTGAGAGTACATGAGTTAAAGCAGTACACATATTATAAGATGAGAGAAGGATTTCTAAATATAAGATTTTTGTTCTGTTTTTCAGGCTGCTGCGTACCATGGTGGGGAGTGCTGCCTGTGGGTATGGGGTGTCATCCTGTATGTCACAAGCCAACAATCTGTATCAGGCCTGGATGGAGGACCCTCAGCAAAACAAGTTAGTACCCACCCAGTTGAAAAAAAACTTTTTTTTATTTTGCACCAAAATTTTGAATTGACATGCATGTATTACCTGTTTCGTACATCGTTGTTTTGTTTCAGAATATTGATTTCAAGAGATTTTCATACAAATATATAGTCTTGAAACATGTGAAATGAGATATAACTTTAATTTACACTTGTAAATCCAGGCTCCGGTTCATGAAACTTGGACAAACTCATATTTTGATCTCAGTTTCGCTTTTGCAAAATGAAATTGGGATAAGTGAGACTGTGATCGTGAGAAGAGCTCACTTTTGATCTCAGTCTCACTTTTCCACTATTTATCCTTTTTGAAATATAAGACTGAGATCAAAAGTGAGCTCATCTCAATTTTGTGGCCCTGAAGCCTGGAGCCAGATGTATTTTCTAGCTATGCATTTTTTACCAGATCTTGGGGTGGTTGTTCACTCTTTGTCTTTGTTAACAGGATAGACCCAGACATAAAGACCATTGTCTACTGTACTGGTATAAGGGAAGGGGGCCAGAAAGAATGGGAATTTGCCTACTCTCAGTACAAGACTACCACTGTAGCCTCAGAGAAATTACTCCTCTTATCAGCTCTAGCCTGCTCCTCAAAAACCTGGATCCTCAATCAGTAAGTGTGAAACATTCCTCAAAAACCTTGATCCTCCAGCAGTAGGTCTGAAACATTCCTCAGAAACCTGGATCCTCAATCAGTAAGTCTGAAACATTCCTCAAAAACTTGGATCCTTAATCAGTAAGTCTGAAATGCTCTTCAAAAACCTAAATCCTCAATCTGCAAGTGTGAAATGTTCCTCAAAAAACTGGATCCTCAATCAGTTAGTGTGAAATTTTCCTCAAAAACCTGGATCCTCAATCAGATAGTGTGAAATGTTCTACTAAAACATGGATTAACAATAAGTAGGTTTGAAACATTCATGCAAAACCTTAATCCTCCAGCAGAAGGTCTGAAAAATTCCTCAAAAACATGGATCTTCATCAGTAAGTGTGAAATGCTCCTTCAAAACATGGATCTTCATCAGTAAGTGTGAAATGCTCCTCCAAAACATGGATCCTCCATCAGTAAGTGTGAAATGCTCCTCCAAAACATGGATCCTTAATTGCTTAGTGTGTGTGAAATACTCCTCTAAAACCTTGATCCTCAATCTGTAAGTTTACATGTAAATCGTTCACCTCAATCAGAAAGTCTAAAATCTCTAAAACATGTGGATCCTCAATCAGTGTTTCCTTGGGCCCCTCCTCAATAACAAGGATTTACAAACAGTAAGTTAAAAAGTGTTTCCTTGAGGCTGTCTTTAGATACATAAATCAAAAATAAATTTCATACTTGATCTGATGGCCTGATCTGTTCAAAAGCATACATGTTAACCTATTGTGATGAAAAATAGGGAGATTCAGACCTCAAAAGTGGTAGCATTGCGCGTGCGTTGTTTTACGCTTGGATTACCGACATATTTCAAGTAATATATACATGTATGTAGCCTTAAATGAAACCTACAAAGCCTTAAATGAAACCTACAATAAATAAAAATATCAATTGCAAAGAAGAAGACAGAAATACCTTAAGTTTGACATAAATTGTACAAATTCAAATATTTTTCATGCTCATCATTTTGCTTGGATTGGCTGTTTAACTTAGCCTTTTGAAGAGTGATCTTTGCCAATATAGCCTAGAATGTTCATTCAGTTGTAAAACAAAACAAATGATGGCATGGTTTAAACTACATGTATATCTAAAACAAGTTCCTATCTTTCGTTATATAAATCAGATTTCCCGCGATGATCGAAAACGAAAGTAGAGATGTGCCACATGGCTTGGTCAATCGAGTGATTTCTATTGAATTTATTGATAAAATTGTGAGCTCCTGTGCTTTTACAGACGATGCCAAACGTTTTCATCTAATTATTAAAAGCTGTATCTCCTTTTTCATGGCAGTGATGTTGACTAAATTTATCGTAACCAATGTAATCACTGGTAATCTTGTGCTGTTGTCGTTGTCAAATTCGTGCTTGAATTCTATGTACACATCGATACAAAAAAGCGTTTGTATGCTTCTGAGTCAAATCACGCATGCAGATTTTATGAGAGTGGCTTCAAAAATGGATTGCGATCATGATTTTGTACTTTCTGAATTAAATCGGTAGGCGGGAAAAAAAACCCCGCCTAAATCGGTAGAGTTAACATGTATGTCAAAAGCATAGTTACTCAATGAGTTTTACATCATCCCCAATACACTTCTCAAGAGCATTCACCCTTGATCATGATTTCACTTTGTAGAAAAAAACATCTGTTGTCTTCTTGTGCATGTTAGATAAATTACTCAATAGCTGAGGCAATGTTAGAAGTCATTTCAAATTTATTTTTAGTAATATTTACTTGCCAATGGATATGAATTTATAAACCTGCACTTCTGTCATAAACTCAATAATGTACCATCCCTTAAGTTTTTAAAGCTATATTGATATGTATCAAACTTGGAGAAGGAAATGGATTAAAGCTGATTTGGTTCTGCTTTCAGTTATCTGAAGCTAAGCATGGATCCACAGGAAATTCGCAGCCAAGACGTGACCAGTGTCATCATTTATGTATCGAGGAATTCGGTTGGACGATATCTTGCCTGGGAATTTATGCAAGAAAACTGGGATATTCTGAGGGAGAAGTAAGTACGAAGAGGTTTTAACCAAAAAAGTGCAAAAAAATTAAACGATTAATTAAAAAAAAAAATATTCATGCTTTGTATTTACTGATCTTGTCTACAACTGTAGATCACTAAATTTTCGCGACACCTTATTAATCGCGAGATAGTCAGTGACTCTTTTTAAGCAAGACATAATTTTCATGAATTGTTTTTATTCCTCTATATAATCCAAAGGAACACTTTTATATGCCAGAATAAAATTTTTGCGAGCTCATTGTCTCGCTTAATTACATGAAAATAAGGTTCTCGCAAATAAAAAGTGATTTACAGTAACATAATTATTCATTTGTTAACATTTTCAGATTTGGAAGCAGCTTTTTCAAATTTCCCACACTAATCAAGGGAATCACAGAGTCTTTTAACACAAAGCATCAACTCAAACAGGTACATGTCCAAACTGTCCAAACAGACAGATCACATTCTTTATTTCCTCTGTAATATAGCGATTGCTTCTATGATACTGAGAAACATTTAAATTCAACAGTGCATTGGTCTCTTTAAACACAAAGCATCAAATCAAACAGGTAGGACCAAACTAAAAGAAGCAGTCTGTGTTTCAAGTAAACTTTGAAAAAAAAGAGTTGTTAAGATTTCGAGTTGATCTCATTTTCAGATTAAATCCCTTTAATAATTTCAAAATGTGTAAATGTATAAATCATCATAATGAAAATTAAAAGAAGCATGAAAATTTCTGTTAATTACAGGTATTAAAGTTTTTTTCAACATAATGAAATTCTCATATTAAGCACTCAGCAATACTACAGTGAAACTAGTATAATCTTGATATTGTGTATTCTGAAATCTTGCCTATTTGATACAGTTCTCAGCAATACTACAAAATAAATTTACTGTGAAACTGTTGGTGATCTGTTTTATACTTTTAAGTTTATAACTTGAAATTGTGTATTCTGAAATCTTGCCTATTTGATACAGTGTTCATTTTAAGTTCATTTCAGATATGTTGGCGATTGTTGTTTAATCCAGCCAATTTCTTTGGAACCAATGTTGTAAAGATTGGACAAGTTTTGCTGTATTATATTTTCTTTGCCTTTAAAAATTATTTTCTGTCTGAAGCTTGAAGACTTTGTGAGAACTCATCCAGACCTTGGAACAGGTAAAAGAGCTTTCCAAGAGGCCATAGAAAATACAAAAGCCAATAAGGCATGGATGGACAGAAACTACGACACCATCAAAAAGTGGCTCGAACAGGTGACGTCCTCCTCAGGTGAAAAAGCACTCACGGATGTCCGCTTGCCTCGATCTAACATCCCCACCCTGTACGAGATCGAATTGACTCCTGACATCTACTCGGCGGATCCCACGCAATTTAAATTCCGAGGCCGCGTCAAAATCAGCATCGACTGCTTGGATCCCACTAGCAACATCACCATGCATAAGAACAAGCTGACAATTTCTAACATTGCGGTATCGAATCAGAATCCTAATTTGGCTTCTCCGAGGTTCGTAAGACAGGCGGAGGACGAGGATCGATATTTTCTGATTATTCACCTGGACGGATCGCTGCAGAGGGGACAGAAGTACTTTGTGCAGATGGATTTTGTGGGAGATCTGACTGATGATCTCAAAGGGCTCTACCTCAGTTCCTATAAACGCGGAGATGATACTGTGTAAGATTTCAGAGGACAGGATTCACGTTTGTGTATTCTACTGTAAATTCACTTATTTTTGAGGAGTCTAAATTTTCTTTGTTAGAGGAATAAAGAATTTGGTTAATGGGCATTGGAGAACACAAATATAAGTGATTTTAGAGTATTTTCTTAAACTTGTTCATTTCACAGTAATTTTCTTAAAAATTTTGATTTTGTCTTGTCTGAATGGTAAAGGGTTTATTTCATTGTGTATTTCTGTGGATAGACAGGAAACATGGATCTATTTATAGATATATGGCGACTACACAAATGGAACCCACAGATGCGAGAAAGGCTTTCCCTTGCTTTGATGAGCCGGATATGAAAGCGCAATTCAAGCTGACTCTGCTGCGAAAACCAGAAAAAATCTCCCTGTCTAATATGCCAATTGTACAGAAAGATACGAACAGGTACTGTATGTCATAAATAAGGTTATGGGGAAAGCGCTTTCGTAACTGACTGTTTGAAAGAAATAATTACCGGTATTAGAATTGAATTCTTTGTGTTGCTATAAACAAAGCACTATTTACCAGAACTTTTAAAAGCAGTTTGTCATTTTAAAATCTTTCTGTGACTATTAATGAATAAAATGTGCAGCAGAGAAATTTTCTACATTAGTACTCAATGAAAGATGATGTTAATTCACAGCAATTAAAGTTTGAGAGTAGGAGAAGGTTAATATTGAAACTCAATATAAAATTTCTCGCACACGAATAAAAGTTTTACAGTGTACTTTTAGGTAGCACAGTAAAAAGCCTTTGTTGTTAATTTTTGGTGCACCATGGAATGATGGTGCAGATTCAGGAAATCTTGGATAAAATACAGTATAAAAAAGTCATCATACATTGTACAGTGGTCACAAAAAAAAAAAAAAACAAAACAAAAGCAGTAAAAAAAATTTAAAGTTTAAGTTAACTAAATTAAAAGTGGTGTAGTCTTGGATAAAATACAGTATAAAAAAGTTTTTATTTTAAAGTTTAAGTTAACTTTTATAAATAGTTTTGAATTTAAACTTTTATTCTAACGTTTAGACTGAAACTTAAAATATCTAATGTTTTTAATTTTTTTCAGACCTGATGGTTACGTTGCAGATATTTATCAGGTGTCGGAAAAAATGTCCACGTATCTCGTCTGTATTATCATCTGCGACTTTGTTCCCAGAACAGGAATAACCAAGAACAACATTACCGTGAGATGATTTTATTATTAATTAATTGTTATAGCCAACACAATAGTTATCGTAAAGCTATTTCAGTCTTCATTTTTAAACAACGCTTTTTAGCCACATATGTTGTATACTGTATAAATCTTTTGTTTTCGGTTATGGCAATTCAATGACAGACACATGGCCACAGGTTAAAGCAACAAAATTTCATGTCATTGTTTAAATTCAAAATTATTTGAAGTCCTAAACTCAAAATCTGTATTTAAAAACAGCAAACTGGTGATAAAAAAAAATAAAACCATTTTTTCAGCTCATAATGTGCCAAAGTCTCAACTGAGCTTTTTCTGAATATAAATAATTGTCCATCATCCAGCTGTATGTCTGAGTTTTCAGTCATTTTAAATATTTTGCAGTATTCAGCATGGTCAACTAAGGAGGCCTACAACCAGACAGAGCTAGCCTTAGACGTGGGGATGTCCACCATCACGTACTATGAGGAGTTCTTTGGCATTACATTCCCTCTCCCAAAACAAGGTACTGACTAGTGGAAAGATTATTGTTAAGTGGTGTTCTTTAATTCAAGGGTTTTAAGGGAGAGGAAGAGTGTTTACAGGTGAAAAATAGACCAGAGAGTCAGGAAGTTAGTAAGAGAGAGAAACTCCACCAGATTTTTACTATTTGAGTTTTTGCAATTAATCAGCTTTTATTAAAAGAGGGCATGACCTTTCATTTGAATTTGAATCCCCTTCATCCAAGGTTGCTTTTTGGCAAATTTGGTTAAAGGTGAAAACAAGTTTTTGTAAGTATTATTATGATACAATATGGTGAAGCTCAGCTGTTACTAAATACTACTTTCTTGTTGCAGACATGATAGCTATCCCAGACTTCTCGGCTGGAGCTATGGAGAACTGGGGCTTGATTACGTACAGAGAGACAGCCATGTTGTATCAGCCAGGCGTGTCCTCAGAAATAAATAAACAGAGAGTGGTAACAGTTATTACCCATGAACTTGCTCACCAGGTAAATGTACTTAAGTTACAGGTTTATTTACTGAAGTTACTGGTTAATGTACTGGGGCCCGTTTTACAAAAGGACTTACGACTTAAGAGCAAGTTTAATTATTCATATAACTTTTTAATTAACATTATATCGAAAATTATTTTAAACCTTTTAAAAAGAATGTGGTAAGATATTTTTACACAGACAATTTCAAAGAGAATTATTCATTTTGTAAAATTTTACAATAATCTGAAGTTTTTGGTCTTAGTATTAAGTTCTTTTGTAAAATGGGCCCCTGGAGTTACAGATAAATGTACTGAAGTTACAGGTAAATGTACTGAAGTTACACATAAATTTACTTAAGTAACAGGTAAATGTACTTACGTTACAAGTAAATGTAATGAAGAAAGAAGTAAATATGCTGAATTGACAAGTAAATGTAATGAAGTTACAGTTAAATGTAATGAAGTTGCAGTTAAGTGTAATGAAGTTACAGGTAAATGTAATGAAGTTACAGTTAAATGTAATCAAGCTACAAGTAAATGTAATGAAGTTACAGGTGAATGTAATGAAGTTACAGGTAAATGTAATAAAAGTTGCTTGTAGGTAATTTGCTTTAAGGTAAATTGACTTAATTTTTTTTATTCTTTTAGTGGTTTGGAGACCTTGTTACTATGTCTTGGTGGGATGATCTTTGGCTCAATGAAGGGTTTGCAACCTTTGTGGAATACCTTGGAGCTGATCAAAAATATCCAGAATGGAAAATGGTAACCTATTTAGTGTCTTTTGCCCACAGTCATGTTTGTATGATTTACAGTTTACTGTTAATTGAATTGGTTACTTTCAGTTTGAGCAGTTTACTGTAAATTCAACATTGTTGCTATCAGTTTGAGCAGTTTACAGTTTACTGTAAATTTAACATTGTTGCTTTCCCTTTGAGCAGTTTACATTTACTGTAAATTTAACATTGTTGCTTTCAGTTTGAGCAGTTTACTGTAAACTTAACATGGTTACTTTCAGTTTGAGCAATTTACAGTTGTTACTTTCAGTTTGAGCAGTTAACAATGTACTGTAAACTTAACATGGTTACTCTCAGTTTGAGCAGTTCACAGTTTACTGTAAATTTAACATTGTCACTTTCAGTTTGAGAAGTTAATAGTTTACTGTAAATTTAACATTGTTACTTTCAGTTTGAGCAGTTTACTGAAATTTAACGTTTTTACTTTCAGTTTGAGCAGTTTACAGTAGCAGAGGTTCAGGCAGCTTTCAGTTTTGATGGTCTGGTCTCTTCCCATCCAATCTATGCCCCAGTTTATAACCCTGCCCAGATTAATGAGATATTTGACACAATCTCTTATTCCAAGGTAGATTGATATATAAAAATAAAATTCTATATTATGAATGAATGTACAAGTATGTATCTATGTTTCCTAGCTATATATCTTGATGAAATATGAATTTCATGTCAGAGCATTTGTTTTAATATTAGAAAAAAATGATGGAGAGCAATAAATGTACATTTTGATTTTTTTTTTTGGGGGGGGGGGTTAATTTTTTTATGTTTCAGCTGTGGTGAAATGATCTATGAATATAATTTACTAACAGTGTGCTCATTATTTTGCTGCGTGAGAAGACAGAGTATTCTGAGAAGTGAATGTGATAAAATTTTGAATATTTTACCCTGATTTTGTATTCTTCAGAAATACATTGTTTTAAAATGATTTTTCAGGGTGGCTCCATCATTAGGATGATGCAGTGGTTCCTTGGAGATGAAACGTTCAAGAAGGGCCTGACGGTAAACTTTTTATAATTAATTAGATATATCTGGGGTAACTTTGATAATCATTTTAGTACATCTGTTTCTAAAAGAGTTTGATCAGAAAAAAGTAATTTATTTTTTTATATTAAATTAACTCGCTTTTACCCTCTTTTCAGCTGTACCTTAATAATAAGAAGTTTGGGAATGCTGCCCATGATGACCTGTGGAATGCCATGTCACAGGTTATTTATACATGTCATTGTGAATTTAATTACAGAGATAATTATTAAGAAGTGCAATATCTTTCGTCATTTTCTTATGTTCTGTGTATAAGAAGGGGATGGATAGAAAACTATTTAAAATTACTTTACAATGCTGTGAAATCATCGATGTTCGTGGGGAACCATTGTTTGTAGATTTTGTATGTCAAGCTCTTCCACACAATTTCATCCCCAAGCACAATTCGACTACAAATTAATCAATTGAATCTTCAGTTGATACAAGTTAGCAACATAATCAAGTCCCCATTTACAGACAAAATATTTCTTACCTAAGCACATCAACTCCTACAAATAAAAATGATTTTACAGTATTCTAATTTAATTGTGATTTTCCATTTCAATATGATCACAGCAAGCCCGACAGGAGGGAAGAACCACTGATGTCAAGAAGATCATGGACACTTGGACTTTACAGATGAATTATCCAGTAGTCATGGTAACCATTGCCAACAACAAGGTCAAAGTTCAGCAGAAGCGTTTCCTTCAAAACCCAACCGCCAAGGATCCCCTCAAGTACAACTCTACATTTGGGTGCGTTGATTTGGTTTTCCAGAGACTGTAATTTATTTTGTATTTTTTTAAATTCATCATGTAACATTACATTAGGATACTGTTTCAGTATAAACGTTTTTTGCCTTCTCACACTTGCAAACAATTTATCCTAGTTTAAAATTTTGCCTTGGCACTATTATTGCTGCCTTTTTTAAAACTATGCGATGAGATCAAAGTAGTGAAAATAAAAGGGGGGGGGGGCAAAATTTTTTAGTGTTTTTCAGCATGATATTGAAGAAACTGATGGTGTGCAACTGTATGGCTTGTACAGTGTATATTACATCACAGGAGTATGAAGTTTCTTTCGTAAAAAAAACCCCAAGATCAGGAAAAAATTTCCCACCCTTAATAACTAAAATTTTAGTTGAGGGTGGAAATTTATTTTCCGGATTTTTTTTCTATGAAAAAAACTTCAGACTCCTGTGAATATATTGATGTTTTTTTTCTCACAATGATAGATACCTGTGGGAAGTTCCCTTTACCTACACAACAAAGTCCCAGGCCAATTTCAACCAGAACTGGAGGAACGCTCAATGGTTCAACACAGCGATGCATGGTATGGAATCCTTAACTTTATATCTTAACCTTCACTAGTTTATAAACTTTTTCAATCAAGGCATGTAAAGAACCCATGAAAAGTTTTGAAAGTTGGCAAAATATAAATGTCTAAGCATACTATAAAGAATTTATTAGCTCATCATTCAGGAAAATAGACTCTTCCAAAGTCTTTATAAATTATCTGTTACCGGTAATTTTTCTGAAAAAAAATTAAATACCGTAAATCTGGAAATTTTTGCTGTAGATAATTTTTTAGCAAATTTGCGAGTTCATTGCATTCGCAAAAATATTGTTCTTAAAAATAATTCAACAATAAGAAAATGTAAAGAAACAAGTGGTCATTCGCAAAATTTTGAAACGTAAAAATTATGCAACAGCATTTTGACCCAGATTCGCAAAATAAAATCGACGTAAACATTTCCAGATTTACGGTAGTGAAATGAAAAAAACCTGTTTTTGACAGAGTTTGCAGCACAGACTACTATCAGTGGTAACGATTGGATTCTGGGTAATGTTCAGCAGTATGGCTACTATAGGGTGAATTACGACAGAGAAAACTGGATGAGGCTCATACAACAGCTCAAGACGGATCATCAGGTAAACTGAAACGCTCGTAGATTCATTGGGTAAACTGAAATGCTGGTAGGATCTTTAGGTAAACTAAAACGCTGGTAGGAAGACTCTATAACTATAACAGTTTTAATTGTCAGTCTTGAATATTTCAATAAAACATGGTAATAACAAAATTAAAGTGCCAAGGATGGTCAATTTTGCTTTGAATTTTACTGCGTGCTTTACTGTATGGGGCTGAATTAAAGTAAACCATGTGTAATTCAAAGTGCCAGTGACACACAATTTTGCTTTGTTTTAAGCATGTTTTGTTTTATCCGTTAAGTTCTAAACATCATTGACATTAGTCACATTACAGGGATTGAAAATCCATTCTCTATAAGAATTAATTTATTTTAAGCTATTTGGTGTTTGCTGTTAAATTGTTTTACTTTAGATGTAAAATATAAGAAAATTGTATTGATATCTTTTTTTTTCAAAAACAAACAAACAAACAAACAAACAAACAAAAAAAAAACAAACAAATATTTAAAGAGGCAGAAGCTGGCCGTTTTGAGATGGATGATTTTAAGTTTTATGGAGTTTTCAGTGAAATTGTTATAAATGCTTTTTCCTGAAAAAATTAGAAAGGAATTGTGTTAAGCAGACTTTATCTTTATATTGTAGAGCATTCATGTAATTAACAGAGGACAGTTAATTAATGATGCCTGGGCACTTGCAAAGTAAGTTTTTTGTAGCACATGGACTATTTGTCCAATGGGATTTTTTATGTTTAAATTGCCTGTTTTACAATTCTTTGTAAAGGTCTCTATAAGATGACATTTTAAATTCATACATTAAATAGGAAAAAGAATGTTTAAATAATGCCCCTTAATTTTGCGCCACATAAGGAGAACTACATGACTGTTCTGTAAAAAAGAAACTGGGAGGGGTGGTAATTTTGCATTGGCTTGTGCTTAGTGGAGATCGAGACCCATAAGTTCATATCTACCAAGAAATGTTGAGAGACTATACTGCGTTATGATGTTCCACTTTGATCTATATGAAATCAATTTCCCTAGCTGGAGCCATGCAATCATAATGCTTCAAACTATGCTCCATGTTGAAAATAATTGATTTAAAGTAAATTACAATTTTTACTAAAACAAAAAAGAACACACAGTCACCTGAAATATTCATTAACTGTTGGATAGATCTGGAGATACAGATATGGACATCGCTCTGAAGATGGTGGAGTACCTGGGGTCTGAGACGGATTATGTCCCCTGGTACGCGGCGCGAAAAGAGTTGTCTTATGTACAGAAGATGCTAGCCAGGAGTAATCTGTATGGAAAATTCAAGGTAAATCCATGATTTGTATGCAGCCTGTTCTTCCAATGCAAAGCAAGTACCCTTAATTATTCACTGCAAAGATACAGGAGGGAATATTGTAAACCGATTTTTATATAATTATGTCACTTTAATTTGCAAACCAGCAGTTTGAAATCAATTCATAACATTTATTTTTCCTTACCATTCTCTTTACAAATAAAGCCAAATAAAAGGCTTGCAGTGATAAATATTTGCAAGTTAAAGAAGGTCAAGAAACTCACAGATATATGTCAATAATACAGGAACATAGATTAAGATATACTGTAAATCACTTTTTATTCGCGAGAACTTTATTTTCGCGTAATAACGCGAGACGGTATGCTCGCGAAAATTTCATTCTCGCGTATAATAGAATTCCTTAAGATTATATAGAGCAATGACCACAATTCGTGAAAATTTTGTCTCGCTTATAAAGAGTCAATGACTATCTCGCGAAAATAAGGTGTCGCGAAAATTAAGTGATCTACAGTATTTGTCATTATAGAACTTCATGAAGAAACTTATAAAATCTCCATATGATAAACTTGGAATGGACAACTCAGGATCTGGGCACCTGGAAATGTAAGTCCACTCCAGATCTTTGCAAAAAAAAAAAAGATAAATCACTATTTAATATCAATATTTATCAAAATATGTATTTAGTACATAAAGGTATTTTTTCTTGTATATAGATACACAAGGTCACTATTGGTGAAGGAGGCATGTTCGTATGGTATAGAGAGCTGTAATTCAGGATCTCTGAGGATGTACCAACAATGGATGGAGGAACCCATTAACAAGAGGTACCATAATTTATAATGCACAAAATTAATATACAAAGAGAAGCTAGGCTAACAGTAAAGCAATTTATAATTTTACTTGTCAAACATTTTAAAATCCATTCCTTACTTGAATCAATTTCAACAGAACATTTCATTTCAAGTAGATATTTTGCAGAGTTTATTTGATTTTTTTCATCCTGTGAATGAAATTATAATTAATTAAACCTTGTACATGTATATGAAAATGTGTAAGTTTTTGTTGAATCCTTGCATAAAGAGTTGTTTAAAAATTATTGACACACTGTACAACAGAGTGGACCCAGATCTGAAGTCGACCGTTTACTGCACGGCGATTGAGGAGGGGGGAGAGGCGGAGTGGAACTTTGCCTACCAGCAGTATAAAGACACTAATGTAGCGGCCGAGAGGCGGACTCTAATGGGGGCACTGGCTTGTACAAAACAGACCTGGATACTCAGCAAGTAAGAGACGGAGAGAGGGGGGGGGGGGGGGGTACTGTATACATATACTGCTTACATATTATTTTCATCCCTTTCACACTACCCTCATTTGGGTAAATATAAAACAGGGCAAATTAAAAGTAAACAGTATAATTTCTTGAATAAAACTATGACCGGGTGAATTTAAAATTGTAAATGAGCAAAACTGCAAATGCAAAAGGGCGAAAATAACACAAGGGGGGGGGGGGGGGGGATAACCCTGTATACAGTATTCATTTTTTTTTGACTGATTTTGATTTGAAATGACATAAATAATAAATCCCTGAAATGTAAAGAAATCGTAGGTTTTCCTTGGTGCTTAGATTTGAGACTTATTGTTTTGCTTTCTATATATAAAATTCCATACAAAATTTTGCACAATTTTTAACCTAATGACAAAATCTTATAAAATTCTCCCACTTTACTTAGTAAACATTATTCAGGTTACCAATTTAAATGTAAATCTATGAGAATTACCGGTATTTCGGATTTCTGAAAAAAGTTTGTTTGTTTGTGTTATTTATCCCTAATATGTAGATTTCATGGTTTGTCATTATATATGAATGTCCTTAATACATCTTAATACAATTACGTGAAAATTTTGTTTTTGAGAAAATCATGACCTTGCACATAGGTCATGTAGATTGTGTAACTTAATCTTGCACTGAAAAAAACTACAAATTTTAATATTTCATACATATTTCATATTCAGATATTTGAGTTTGTCGCTAAATTCCTCAGAAGTTCGCAGACAAGATGGAACTTATGTTATCATTTATGTGTCGCGCAATACCATTGGTCGAGACCTGGCCTGGAACTTTGTCAAATCTAATTTTGATCAGCTGCTGAGAATGTAAGTTTCTGTAAAAGTGTGTGTTTCATTTTATATCCATTTACGCAGATTGCATGCAAAATCCGACTGAATTCACAACAAAGTTCAAAATTATTATGTCAACATGTATGCCATGGAATTTGCTAATGAGGCTGTAAATTAACATTAATAACTAGATATTAAGCATTAACATGATTAATAAATACAAGAAGGACAAAAGGCAGACATCAACAAATCCAGGATTGTTTACATGCAGAGTTTAGATTTATGAATATTTACCTGTAATTGAATTTAAGAATTCATGAAGGGGTTAATATATAAAATTGACATAACCAGTGAAGAAAAAGATTAGAATGCGAAATGAAGTATGCAACTGAAAAAAAATAAAAGAATTAATGGAATATTATGCTATGCTACCATATAAGCAGAATTTTAAGTGAGGATTTAATTTTGGCATTATTAGCGAGGCTACCAAGATCGCTAAAATTAAATGTCGCTAAAAATTAATTGCATTTAATGTGTAATAACTTCTTTAGTGACCTTTTAAAAATCGCTAAAAATTGCATCTCACTAAAAATAAAATACCGATTTTTAAGGACACATTGCTAAATTTGCGTCTGGCTAAAATTTCCACTTTAGGTATGGAGAATCCTCTTTTGCTCTGAAGAATCTTCTAAATGGAGTTCTAGATACATTTAACACTGAACAAGACCTGCAGCAAGTGAGTAAAGATTCTTTAATTATGTTTATTGTACATTTGTATGTTGGAATTGTACATTTATTGTAATACCCCCTTTTTTTTCTATGAAATAATAATCTATTGTGAAATTACATCCAGAGCCTGTTAAGTCATAATTCTCCTTCCTCTCTTGAGAAAATTGTGTTATGATGGAATGAGGAATTTAAAATAGAAAAATCATAGATTTTGAATGAACAGAAGAACCACTTGGCAATAAGCTGTAAACGATGTTTTATTGGTGTGCGAGAAATATCCCCTCGAGTTCCTTGACCAACATTAACTCGCGAATATTAATCGCCACGAACCAATCATTTTGCTTAGTATTTGTAGAGAATTAATCATCCCAGATTGATTTCAAACTGACGAATTGCGAATAAAAAATGACACCAATAATAGTTGGTTTACAGTACGCTGTAAAGTAATATCATAATGGTTCCTATTTTCAGCTGAGAGATTTTAAGCTGAAGTACCCAGATATGGGCTCTGGGACTCGAGCCTTTGATCAGATCATGGAGAAAACCACAGCTAACATTGATTGGATGTCTAAATATTACCACATCATAGAGAAATGGCTGGACGAATCAGCTGTGTCAGGGGACACAACTCTTAATGATGTCAGGCTACCGCGCTCAGTCCTACCAGAGTTATATACCTTGGAGCTCTTCCCAGATATATACCAGCCCAGTCCCGAGAACTTCACCTTCAGTGGCAAAGTCGATATTGACGTCCGTGTCGTTGAAAATACCAATAATGTCACGTTGCATATCAACAAACTGACGATAGCTGAGGGCAGTGTGAAAGTAACTAACAACGTCAGTGGTGCCGCCGTCACGGTCAGTGGGCTGAAGGAGGATAAACAGCGCCAGTTCCTCATCATACTTCTGGGGCAGAGTCTACAGAAGGGGATTAACTATACAGTCTCCATGAGCTTCCAGGGGCCCCTGAAGGATGACTTAGTGGGGTTGTACTACAGCACCTACAAAAGAGGGGGCAGTGATGTGTAAGTCTGTAATTTGATCATAATGATACTGTTGATAGAAATGTTACTGTAGAAAGGGCAGTGATTTGTAAGTCCCTAATTTGTTTATAATGATAGAGTTAACAGTAAAGTTATTATAAAAGACTTTTTAATTAGTATCTTAATTAAACTGTAATACTGTGGAATCCTTAGATTTTTGGGGTGACTCAATTAACATACTTGGAATTTGTGGGTACCCTTCATCCATGAATTCACATCCTCCCAAAGTAATATACTAGCTAGGATATCCATGTCATATTTCCTTTTGTAGATAGAGTGAACCCCAGGAATCTGTAAAAAATTAAAGCAATGCATAAAAATTTGCTCCCACATGAGTTTTGATGATACCACAGTAACTGTTTTCAAATTGATGCATTACAGCTTTTGCTTAACCATGATCTAAGTGTTGTTATCGTAGCATTTAGGAGGGAATAAAATTTTCATTAATTGTTCTCTCAGATACATGGCCACGACTCAGATGGAACCTGTGGATGCCAGAAAATCCTTCCCATGTTTCGACGAACCTGACATGAAGGCCAAGTTCAAGGTCACCCTCGTTAGAAAGCCTGAGAAGATTTCACTGTCCAACATGAGGAATATAAGAACAGAGAATAGGTTAAAATCCTATGCATCATTGCTCTTGTGTTGTGAAAATTAAAGATATACTGTATACAGGGAAATTTTTGCCCCCATTTTATTTTCGACCCTTTCGCCCTTACCAAGGTTGAGTGAATTTAAAATGGGGCGAATTCAAAGAAAACAGTATAATTTCTTAAACAAAAGTGTGACAGGGCGAATTTAAGACGGGGCAAACTAGTTTGCAAGATTAAAAGTGCAAAAATAAAGTGTGGCGAAAATAACCTTGTATATAGTAATTGGAAGCGCATCTCACCAATTCTTTTTTATTTAAATTCATGTACATATATTTTACAAGATTGTCATTTTGCATTATAGAGCCAATGGATTGTTAGCCGATGTTTATGAAGAATCTGTTCCAATGTCTACCTATCTAGCCTGTTTTATTGTCTGTGACTTTAAAAACATTTCCAAGGAAACTCCTAATGGCATTTTGGTTGGTTACATTTTCAAATTGTTATTAATTGAGATACAAAGGAATTGTTGTGGTTACAATGCTTAATTTGTATGTATAAATATACAATGGTGGTCAAATTTAAAATTGGCAAAATGATTTGCAAGTGTGATGGGGCCAAAAATAACACAGTAAAAGTTACTTCATTTACAAGAATCCAGCAGTTACTAAGTATTTGTAAGTTCCTACAGGAGTGTGAATTCTTTACCTCACTGTTGTAGTATGGTGCCTGGTCACGACCTGAAGCTATTCATCAAGCGGAGTTTGCTTTAGATGTAGGAGTGGATACCATTACTTTCTATGAAGAATACTTTAACATTCCCTTCCCACTCAAAAAACAAGGTTTGTGTCTTATACTTCCCAAATCTTTAATGATTCAGAAGTTCATAATAGGTCAAGTATTGCTAAACAGATCAAAAAGGTATGCAAGAGAGCAAGAGCCACTTTGGTCCTTATTTGGTTCTGAGAATTTCTGAGAAATCAAAACTGCTCTGTTTAGGTTGCAAATGCAGTATTTATCACTTGGAGTGTTGGTGACAACATATCTATTAATTATGATGTAATTTTCCCCTTGTCATTGTATAATGCTTCATAAAATGCGTCATTTTCCTCATATCCTGTAAATTCGTTTGAAAATGGCCTAAAGTTGAAGTTTTTTTTTCAATATTTTACATAGAGCACAACCTCTGATCCAAAAAATGCAAATACATAATGAAAGATCTGTTTCTGAAGATAAAAAAACATGGTTTATTTTTTGAATCGTGGGCTTTGCTTATATTTTTTAATTCTTTGCTGAAGGTAGTCAAATATGCATGTTTTCTGCAAATTTCAAGAACATTGCAATTTCTCAAAGACTGTTTTCCAATATCTGGATTCTCAAAAAGAAATTTCAGTATAGAAAATGAAAGCACCAAGTGTCTACTTTATTTTGATGTATGAAAAGGGAAAGAGTGTGATAGTTAATTAATTGATATAAGTACAGGGCCATTTTATGCATAAAGTGAACCAAGTTCTTTGTATGGAAATCATATGAGAAAATTTTGTGCAATCTGCAAAGTACATATAGGACAATGACTTTCGCATGTTGACAGTTTAGAGGTTAGTGGTTCAAGTCCCTATCTAACCCTTTCTGCTGTCTTTAATTACAGACATGATTGCTATTCCTGACTTTGTTTTATTTACAGACATGATTGCTATTCCTGACTTTGCCGCTGGTGCTATGGAGAACTGGGGCTTGATTACGTACAGAGAGACGGCCATGTTGTATGATCCGGTGATGTCCTCTGAGAGTAACAAACAAAGGGTCACCGTGGTTATCACCCACGAACTGGGACACCAGGTACACTGGTCTGGTAAACGTCTAATGATTGGCTGAGAATGTGGCATTGACCTCGGCTGAAAATGTGGCATTGAGCTTTGTAATTTTTTGGTTGGTTTGGAGGGGGGGGGGATGTATTGAAATTCTAAGTATTTGTTTGTACAATGTTCAGAAGTTGTTTTCACAATTGTTATTTGCCTGATAAGGGTACATACAATGCTATGTAAAATACCACTCTATTTAATCTCTGAATCGATAAGAGGTCTTTGGTAACTTTTTGTTAAAGAGTTATGTTATGATTTGGTTAAGCTGATATTGTTATCCGGAATTATATAATCTTTTGTTGGTTCTGTGTTTTGTAATACTGTAACAGTTGCGTAATGATACAATAAAATAGTTCCAAAATGGCAACCTGCTGTTGAGCAAACGTGTTTTGACTGTGTCCGAACCCATTGTCTAAAAAGACATAACATTGGCGACGAGGATCGTTCAGGATGGCAAAATTCGCAGCCATTGGTCGTATCGACATCTTCGACAACAATGTCGAAACCTGGAACTCGTACAGTGAGCGCCTTGACCAGTATTTTGTGTGCAATGATGTCAAGGAGGAAAAAAAGTTCCCGCATTGCTAAGCCTCATAGGGGGTAAGACTTACCAGTTATTGAGAGGTTTGACAGCACCGACTAAACCGGCAGACGTGGAATATGCCGCACTCGTGAAAATCCTTGGTGATCACTTGAACCCCCCTCCTGTAGTAATCTCCGAGAGATTTCGGTTTTACAAAAGGGACCAGCGGGAAGGTGAGTCTATTAGAGACTATATAGCGGATCTTAGAAGATTGTCAGAACATTGTGCATTTAAAGACAGTCTGAACGAATCTCTGCGTGACAGATTAGTTTGTGGCCTTCGGAGCGAGGCAATTCAGAATAAACTGTTAGCAGAAAAAGACTTGACATTAGAGAAGGCGACGCAGATAGCACAGGCTATGGAGACCGCATTCAAGGATGCAACCGAGCTGCAGTCCAAATACGTTGGAATGGTAAACAAGCTAGGGGTGAGACAGAAAAAGGGATATCACTCTGCTGGAACTGGAGTAAGGTCGCCACAACCCAACATGCCTAAGGTGAAACGAGGTACGAATTCAAAGAAATGTTTCCGTTGTAACAGTACAGCTCATGATCAAAGTCAGTGTTATTACAAAGACAAACAGTGCTATAATTGTTCAAAAATTGGACATTGTAAAAAGGCATGTAGGAAAACAAAGGAGGTACACAATGTGGACTGGAGTGAGAATCTCATTGGATCATTAGATGTGAATTCAGTTGAAAAGACTCATTCTGGAGCAATCGTAGTCAACACAAACATTGACGGTGTAGATGTTGATATGGAACTCGACACGGGCGCAGCAGTCTCCGTGATGTCAAAGAAAAAGTTCTGTGAGTATTTTCCAGGAAGGATTAAGAACTTACCTGAATCAAATATGTGTTTAAAGACATATACTGGTGAAATCTTGAAGCCTTGTGGAGTGGCACGTGTAAATGTGAGTCACAACAACCAGAAAAAGGATCTAGACTTGTACGTGATGCAGAAGGCAGGACCAACGCTCTTCGGAAGAGAGTGGCTTCAGCAGATTTCACTCGATTGGCCGTCCATCAAGTCCATGTCGTGTGTGACAGACAAGATTTCAGACACTTGTTCTGATAATGTGAAAGCGGACTTAAAACACATGTTGGAAAAACATCGTTCAGTTTTCCAGAGTGACATAGGTACGGTTAAGGGTATTGAAGCTACACTCAACTTAAAGCCGGACGCTAAACCAAAGTTCTGTAAAGCCCGCTCAGTACCGTATGCCCTCAAGCCTAAGGTCGAGGCTGAACTGGACAAACTAGTCAGAGATGGTATCATAACCAAGGTGGACTACAGCGAATGGGCAACGCCTATTGTCCCTGTCATCAAGTCTGATAAAAATGTGCGCATATGTGGTGATTTCAAGGTGACACTGAACCCTGTTCTTGAAATCGATCAGTATCCGCTGCCCCGCATTGAAGACATTTTTGCAGCACTCGCAGGTGGTAAGCGATTCACCAAGTTAGATTTACGACATGCATATCTACAAATGAGAGTAAATGAGGAGTCGCGCAACTTATTGACAATAAATACAGAGAAAGGACTCTACCGCTACAACCGTTTAGTTTATGGTGTGGCCTCAGCTCCTGCAATCTGGCAAAGGACCATCGACACAGTCTTACAGGGTCTCACCAGCGTCAAATGTACCATTGATGATATGATAATAACGGGCTCATCTGAGGAAGAACACCTGAAGAATTTGGAAGCTGTATTAACGCGCCTGGATGAATACAACTTGCGTGTGAACTTGAATAAGTGTGAATTCTTCAGAGAACGTGTTTCTTATTGTGGACATGAAATAGACTGTGAGGGTCTGCACAAAACGCAATCCAAGATTGAAGCAGTTGTCAGTGCGCCGAAGCCGAAGAATGTTTCAGAGTTGCGATCATTTCTGGGCATTGTTAACTATTATGCCAGATTTTTGCCTAACCTTTCAAGTCTTTTGTACCCGCTACACCAGTTACTGTCAAAGAGCCGAAAGTGGTCCTGGTCTAGCGAATGTGACAAGGCATTTTCTGAAGTCAAACAGCTTATTACCTCTGATGAGATTTTGACTCATTACGACCCACAGCGAGAGGTGCGATTAGCATGTGATGCTTCACCTTATGGTTTAGGGTGTGTATTATCCCATGTCATGGATGACGGATCAGAACGACCGATAGCATATGCATCTCGATCATTGTCGTCAGCAGAGCGGAACTATTCACAGATAGATCGTGAGGCTCTGGGGATAGTATGGGGTGTGAAACGTTTTCACACATACCTCTATGGAAGACACTTCTCTTTATTGACGGATCATGGCCCTCTTGTGTCCATCTTCAGCCCCAGCAAAGGTGTATCAGTTACAACAGCAGCACGCATGCAGAGATATGCTCTGTTTTTATCAGGGTATGATTATGACATTATGTACAAAAACACCAAAGCGCATGGAAATGCAGATAGCTTATCGAGGCTACCACTGTCTGACTGTGAATCTGATGATGATTATCAAGATATTGACTTGATGTACCTACCACAATTTGAAACATTACCAATCACCAGTGACCGTATTAGACAGGAAACTGGACGTGATCCTGTCACTGTGAAGGTATATGGTTATACCATGAATGGATGGAGCTTTTCGGTCAAAGCAGATGATAAGGACTTGTATCCCTACTTTACGCGTAAGGACGAGTTAACAATTCACAATGGATGTTTGTTGTGGGGAATGAGAGTTGTTGTTCCAACAAAGCTTAGGGATCACATACTTAAGGAGCTTCATTTAGGTCACATTGGAGTAGTGAAGATGAAGGCATTAGCTCGAAGTGTGGTATGGTGGCCCGGGATCGATCTTGATATAGAGAGGATCACGAAAGCATGCTCAGGATGTCAGGAGTTCAAGCGTGCACCTCCAGCAGCCCCCATTCATCCGTGGGAGTGGCCCACTAAACCTTGGGAACGTATCCATATAGACTTCGCTGGGCCTTTTATGAACTGGATGTTCCTGGTAGCAGTAGATGCACATTCTAAATGGCCTGAGGTCATAATGATGCGCGAGACGACATCCCACAAGACTATTGAGGTCTTGAGAAGTATCTTTGCTAGAAATGGTGTTCCTACAGTGTTGGTCAGTGATAACGGACCTCAGTTTACGTCAGACGAGTTTGGAAACTTCATTCGTACCAATGGAATAAAGCATGTGACTTCAGCTCCATATCATCCTAGCTCAAATGGATTAGCGGAACGTTTTGTACAATCGTTCAAGTCCGCAATGAAGTCAAGCAAGAAGGATGGAGGTTCTGTGGAAACGAAGTTATCTAACTTTTTACTAGCCTATCGCAACGCAGCACATTCAACTACTGGAGAGTCACCTGCAAAGCTATTCATTGGTCGTTCATTGCAGTCACGACTAGATTTGATAAAACCAGACATTGAACAAAATGTTAAAAACAAACAGTTTCACATCGCATCTAAGAGATCAAGTTCATTGCGTGTGTTTGAACCTGGGCACAGTGTAATTGTTAGGGACTACCGTCACAGTTCAAAGTCGGACTGGGTACCAGGAACCGTTCAAGAGCAGACAGGACCTGTTTCTTACAGAGTGCAAGTTGGGGACAATACTTGGAGAAGACACGTAGATCAGATATATGATTCTTCACTAAAGAATCAGGAAGTTGTACACAGTGATCTTGAGAAGTTTGTGCCACAGATACATGTACCAACTCCTACAGTTAGTGCTAAACAGTCTAGTCCAGAAGTCTTTCCGCAAGGTACGAAAGTCAGGCAGTCAACTCCAGAGGTCTTCAACAGGAAGAAAGCTAATAGTCCTATCCAGGAACAGAAATCTCAGCCAGAAGTTAGGACCGAGCCTACCATACTAGCCAGACAAAATCCAAGACGAAATGTTGGACCGCCCAAACGTTTCAGTGACTATGTTACTTTCAAATGAATTGTGCATTTTGTTTTGTGTATTATGGCACAGTATTGGGGCACAATAATCCCCGTGCCTTTGTGTTGACCAAGAGGTCATTTTCACTTTGTATACTGTATTGTGTTGAATGTATTGGCCTGGTAAAACATGTCTGTGAAGTTTAATATTTGAAATGTGTATATTGCCCAAAATTTCATTCAATTTAAGTTCTGATTTTAATTCTTGTGGAAGTCAAAATTTAGTGGGGAGGAATGTTATGATTTGGTTAAGCTGATATTGTTATCCGGAATTATATAATCTTTTGTTGGTTCTGTGTTTTGTAATACTGTAACAGTTGCGTAATGATACAATAAAATAGTTCCAAAATGGCAACCTGCTGTTGAGCAAACGTGTTTTGACTGTGTCCGAACCCATTGTCTAAAAAGACATAACAAGTTACATGCAATATTATCTCCAGGTAGTTTTGGATGATCTTGACAGATTCCATTATCAATTATGATTACACTTTTTTCAGTGGTTTGGAGATCTAGTAACTATGGGCTGGTGGGACGATCTTTGGCTCAATGAAGGGTTCGCAACCTTTGTGGAATACCTAGGAGCTGATCACAAATTCCCAGAATGGAAAATGGTATTAACTTAAGTTTCTTCATCATACTGTTTGAGATCAGTAGATATAAATCTGTTATAGATAATCCTTTTTTTTAATTTCCTTACCCATCTTTCCTTTCAATTGAAGTTTTTAGAAATTTCCTACTACAGTTAATTCTCGATAAACCGCCACCTTTTGTAATTTAGAAATCATGGCGGTATAACGAATTTGGTGATGAATTGAATTTCCCATCTTTTAGAAAACAAAAAGTAGAGTTATCATTCTTAGAAATACCATTTAGCGTTTCTATTCTTATTATCACATGTACATGTATATAAAAACATATTTCTGATTGAAAATACAACAAGTAATTTTATTAATGTACAATTACGCTAAAACAAAGACAAATATTTGTATATGAAATGAATGTAAATCTGCACGTTCGATATTGAAAAAAAAACATACTGGGTTGATCGTCGTGATATATTGCCGATAATAAGTAAAATGAATTCTTGAATATGTTCATTGTTTATGGTATCATTGTTGATGGAAGGTTAACAATTTATACCGTATAATTATTTTTTCCTTATCGGCGCACTTTAACAACGACCGCTTTCGTGGGGAAGCTATGACTAAATGATTTTATTAAACAGAAAACAAAATGATCATAACAGTTCATGTTTAAATTATTGTTTATTTAATTCTTGTTTAATTACTTAATTGCATGTACCTTGTCTGCAACAGGAATAGCGTCAACTAATTAGCCACGCTTCACTGACCACATGCACCTGTGGCGGTATATCGAGATAATTGACACTTAAAAATGGACGTTTGTTGTGAAAACGGTGGCGGATGGCGGTATGCGAATTTGGCGTTATAAAGAGAATTTTATTTAGCAGGAAAAACGTTCTTGGGAAAACATGGCGGTATTGCGAAAATGGCGATGAATCGAATGGCGATAATTCGAGAATTGACTGTATATTGAAAGGGTTAATGGGTTAAATGTACATAAGAATGAAACTTGACTTTGTGTGTTTTCAGTTTGACCAGTTTGTGACAGAAGACCTCCAGGTGGCCTTTGATTACGACGGTCTGGTGACGTCACACCCGATCTACGTACCTGTCGCCAATCCCGAGCAAATTAACGAAATATTCGACAAAATCTCCTACTCTAAGGTATGTAATTGAGGAGGCAAACTCTTTAAGAGCAAGGCAAGAAAGGTGGTTGTGATCTACAGGTACATCATATGAATATGAGATTGTGTGTAAGCATACAGTAAAACTTGTTTAGTACGAACACAGATTTTTCAAATTCATGGATATAGCGAAGTTATCATGGATCCCAAGCTATATAAATTTAACGAATTCTGTATACAGAGATAACGAATTATGGATATAGCGGAGTAATTTTATAGGTCCCAGAGACTTTGTTAAAACTGAGTTTTACTATACTAGTAATTGTATTAGACTGAAATAGTAAATAATTAAAGATTATTAGAGAATGAAGTTAAAGAATCATCAGAGTCTATAAAGTCGCAAGAATACACTTAAAATGCCTATTGTGTTTTGCCTTCATTATATAATTACCAATTATTTATTTGTGTCTTTGATTATCAGGGTGGCAGTATAATTAGAATGATGAGGTTTTTCTTAGGAGAGAAGATATTCAGAGCAGGTTTAACGGTAATGGATAGATAATTCTTAGAACATTATACAAAAATGAATATAAGAATGTAATAGTATACATAGCTTTTAGTAATGTGATTTTAAAGGGTAAAGCTTTTAAATATCTCAATTGGGTTTCCCTTGTCATCTCATTTGAATTTTGCTGTACCTAATAGAGTTCTAATTTTTTTAATGGCATAAATAAGATGAGAAATTTTTTAAAGTACTTTTCATGCATAGATGATGGTGATTTGCAATAGATGGGTATAATAGCATTACAGAAAATTCATTGAAAAGTCTTTTAGAATGATTATTTTAATGGATGTTTATTTCTTGTTTTATCAGGATTATCTAAATAGCAGGAAATATGGCAACTCTTTCCATGATGATCTTTGGAACTCCATGACAAAGGTTAGTATACAGTTAAAGTATGTCATTGAGGGAGTTAGCAAGATTCCAGTTTCCCAAGACCAGGACTATTTCCCGAGGCGCAGCGCGCCGAAGGACATAGTCCTGGTCGAGGGGATTTGGAACCTTTCTAACTCCCTCAATGATATACTTTTTAACTGTTTTATTATACCGATACAAATAGAGGATTACGAATGGCGGGGAATTAGCTTCAAGACTAATGCACGGGGAATTAGTCCAGTAACATATTAGACGGATACAAAAGTAAAACCTGTAAGTGAAATACATATGACAAAATATAATAGAAGCACTCTTTAACATTTCATGCTTCTTTTTATCAGCTGGCAAATCAGAATGGTCACCAGCTGGATGTGAAGACTGTTATGGACACCTGGACACTACAGATGAACTACCCTGTGGTCAAGGTGACCAGACAGGACAGTGGCCGCCTCCGCGTAACTCAGAAACGCTTCCTGGCCAACCCCATGGCCAAAGATCCCATGAAATACAATTCTACATTTGGGTGAGCCTCAATTTTTGCACAGAGTCTGAAATTATATAGAAAAAAAAAACAAAGAATAAATGTACAATATTTGGATAGATTACTGTTCATGTTCATAAATTGGCGTATTCAAAGTTTGTAGAGCAATTGCTTGGCATTTGGTTGTTAGTATATTTAAGAATTAACTCTTCACCCTATAATTTATTTATATATGATTTCTCTGCAGTATTCATGAATTAGCACATCAATGTCCGTGCAAAAACTGCTAAAATATGAAGCCCCCCTTTTTTATGCATAATTTATACAGTAATTTTGATCTGTTTGCTATACAGTGACATGGAGATGTTCACTCACTCACCGTTTTGTTTTAGATACAAATGGATGATACCCTTCACATACACGACAGAGGCTACTAAGAAGTTCAACCAATCTTATAGTGACTTAGTATGGGTCAATGATGCTACCAAAGGTCTGTTATCTGCTCTTAATTCATAGTCTTTACATTTGTTTTGATGTCTAATGTTCTATGTCCACAACTTTATAGCCATGGTTATAAATAAGTGTCATCATTTGTGATTTCAAGAGATATTTTCCATATTTTAATGAGGGTTTGGGTCTTTGTTCAATTTTTGTAAACAGTTCAATTTTCGAACTGAAAGATTTTGCTTCTACCAGTGGAAAGCCGTACGTTTTAGGGGAGACTCTTGTATTGAGTTTAGGCTTACAGTGAAATGAATTTCCTCCCCTGTTGGGATAAACTTGACAGAACTAGATTATTTTTCATTTCATTCTACTAAGGTATTGTGCAATATACATGTACAAGTAGGTCTAACATATTAAGTAGTAGATATTTATCCCCTGTAAATGTATTATTAATACTAGTCTTGTATTTTTAAGATATTTCAACAAACATCCCAGCAGCAGATTGGATTCTGGGTAATGTACAGGCGATTGGCTATTACAGGATGAACTATGACCTCGACAATTGGAATAAATTGATTGGTCAGCTGAAGGCAGATCATGAGGTACACAGAATCAGTTTTCTTTGGCACAGCTGCGCTATGGAAATCATGATTATTCAGAGAAAATGTTACCGTTAAACATTCAGGCCAAGAAATAAAATATGATCTTAATTTTTAAAAGAAATGAAATTCAATTCAGCCCATAGGTCCTTTTTTGGTGGGAGAGGTTAATATATATATATATATTTTTTTGTCAGACAACAGAAAAGAAATGTTGATATTGACTGACTCTCTCTGTTTTGTAATAGGTTATTTATTCAACAAACAGAGCACAACTGATAAATGATGCTTGGGCCCTGGCAAAGTAAGTGTTTGGAAATATGCAGTGTATTAATAAATTAACATATTTTTTTTTATGGATAGTTTTTAGCTCACCTCAACGAAGTTGGGGGAGCTTATGTAATACCCTCGGCGTCGGCGTCGGTGTCGGCGTCGGCGTCGGCGTCCACGTCGGCATCGGCGTCCCAGGTTAAGGTTAAGTTTTTTGGAGCAGTTTTCTTTTTAAGTACTTCTATGTCCTATATTGATTAGACATGCATGGAAGATTGTTCTAGTGTGTTTCACTGTACCAGTCAAAGTTTCAGATGCTGCAATTTCAGCAAAGGAATGACCAGGTTAATGTTTTTGGAGCAGGTTAACATTTTTGGTGCAGTTTTTGGTGTAGGTTTCATTTCCAAGTAACTATAATCCCTATGTTGACCAAACTTGCATGGATGATACATCTAATGATGGATACTACCAGGCTTGCTTCGGATGCTGAATCTGACCTACATTTTCCGGTTGAGTGAACAGGTTAAAGTTTTTGGTGTAGGTTTCATTTCCAAGTATTTTTAAGCCCTATGTTGACCAAACTTGCATGGATGATACATCTAAGGATGGATACTACCTAGCTTGCTTCGGATGCTGAATCTGACCTACATTTTCCGATTGAGTGAACAGGTTAAAGTTTTTGGTGCAGGTTTCATTTCCAAGTAACTTTAAGCCCTATATTGACCAAACTTGCATGGATGATACATCTAAGGATGGATACTACCGGGCTTGCTTCGGATGCTGAATCTGACCTACATTTTCCGGTTGAGTGAACAGGTTAAAGTTTTTGGTGCAGGTTTCATTTCCAAGTGACTTTAAGCCCTATGTTGACCAAACTTGCATGGATGATACATCTAAGGATGGATACTACCTAGCTTGCTTCGGATGCTGAATCTGACCTACATTTTCGGGTTGAGTGAACAGGTTAAAGTTTTTGGTGCAGGTTTCATTTCCAAGTAACTTTAAGCCCTATGTTGACCAAACTTGCATGTATGATACATCTAAGGATGTATACTACCGGGCTTGCTTCGGATGCTGAATCTGACCTTCATTTTCCGGTTGAGTGAACAGGTTAAAGTTTTTGGTGCAGGTTTCATTTCCAAGTAACTTTAAGCCCTATATTGACCAAACTTGCATGGATGATACATCTAAGGATGGATACTACCGGGCTTGCTTCGGATGCTGAATCTGACCTACATTTTCTGGATGAGTGAACAGGTTAAAGTTTTTGGTGCATGTTTCATTTGCAAGTAACTATAAGCCCTATGTTGACCAAACTTGCATGGATGATAAGGATGCACACTACCGAGCTTGCTTCGGATGCTGAATCTGACCTACATTTTCCGGTTGAGTGAACAGGTTAAAGTTTTCATCAAGAGATGAAAATTCTCAAATCTGCTTCAGATGCTGGATTTTGATTACATTTTCATGAATAAGAACTAGTTTGAATTTTTTATGTAGGTCTGTTTCCAAGTATCAGATCAAAATTGCTTAAATATTTTCATTTTTGGAATGTACACTTTTTGTTTGTTAATTGTGTGACTTTGCCTTACTTAAAGACAACATTCGTTGAGGTGAGCTCTGTAATCTCTGATTACCTATGTTTATTTTCTTTTTAATACTTTCCTTTAATTGATGCATATTTGAATTAACATGAAATAATTGCCACATGCAAATTAATATACAGTATATTTATGCTGTTTACAAGGGTTTAAGTTAAAAAGATTTATTCCTGTTTCTTTTTCCTTTTAATTAACACAGGGCTGGAGAACTGCCAATGGAGACAGCCCTACAGACTATCGAGTACCTGGGGGCTGAGATGGATTATGTCCCCTGGACTGCCGCTGAGAAGGAACTGTCGTACGTCCGTAAAATGTTGGTCCGCACCCCTCTGTATGGGGAGTACAAGGTACAAGCCAAAACGATTGAATGGAAAACAGTACCTATAATGAGGTTTGACCGTACATGTAATACAAAGTTCAAGTTTTGATGCTATTATTAAATTCTTGTAGAATTTCATGGCATCTCTATTAAAGAAACCATTCGGAAAACTTGGATTGGACAACTCTAATTCAAACCATTTAGAAATGTGAGTCTTTGAGCCCTTTTGCCAAAGAGGTATTCATTTTGTAGTTACATGTACACCTCTTTATTATGGTCTTCATGACTAACTCTTTCATTAATTCATGCATGAATGTATATTGAACTCAAAGAAATGGAATTTTTAGGGACAGTTTTATTACAGCGAAGGACTGTTGAGACTCTTATTTTCTTTGGGTAAAATTTGCTTGGTTACATGGAGAGAAAATAATGTTAATTCATTTAATGGATGAGGAAGTATCTATCGAGTTGCCACCTGTTGCACTTTTTGTGAGGCAAATAAATTTGGGACCGTTCATATCTGGCGAACAACAAACATTAATAAACCCACCAAAAGTGTATGATTTCATAGAATAAATGAAGCAGTAGAATAAGATTTGATTTTAGTCCTATGTATCAGCTTGCTGATGAGTTTCCTTTTTGTCACAGCTATACGCGATCGGATGTGGCTGACCTTGCCTGTACTTATGATGTCCCTGGCTGTAGAACTCAGGTGAAGGCAATCTTTGACAAGTGGATGTCTAATCCAACAGTTAACCTGTAAGTATTCTGCCTGTGCAATCCAATGGTAAACCTGTAAAATATTCCATCCAATCCAATAGTAAACCTGTAAGTATTCAATCCAATCCATTGGTAAACCAGTAGGTATTCTGACTGCCAGACTTGACAGTTAACTGTAAGTTTTCATCCAATATGATAGTTATGACATTCCAGTCCAACAGTAAACCTGAAAGTTGTTTACCTTTTCCCGTATAAAACATATTAAAGTATTCTGATTTTCTAGGCAAAACACTTATATTACAGTGTCTTCAATGCAGAAACTATGTAGTTGCAGTGTAATAAAATTTTATTTGTTTGCAGTGTGGATCCGAATCTGAAGACGATGGTGTACTGTACAGGGGTCGCCGAGGGTGGAGAGAGTGAGTGGGATTTTGTCCTTCAGCAATACAAGGACTCTACACTGGCCTCAGAGAGCAGTAGATTTCTGTACGCCATGTCCTGCTCAAAACAAACATGGCTGCTGAGCAGGTAAATAAAAAAAATCAATCTTTAGATAAACTGTGATTTAAAAAAAAAAAGTTGAGGTTCTAGTCATTGTCAGATGAAGATAGGTTCATATTTTGTCTGGTATCAAATATTCTTTTCAATTACAAGGTGAGTTGGGTCAATTTGCAACCTGGATTTGTTAAATGCATTTGTTAATTCTGAGTTTAATGTTTCTGAACTGTATTATAATAACAAACTTTCATTGAAAGCAAAATGGAAATGAAAATTTAGTGTGTGGTACAAAAAAATTAATTGAAAGTGAAGCCTACGGTGACATTTTACTTGAAATAGCTGACGACGAACTTGCAGCATCAGATAAGTCAAGCTCTACACTCTTTGATTTACAGGTACCTTGAGTATGCTCTGGACACTAATGTGGTTCGCAAGCAGGACGCTACCACTGTCATAACTTACATCTCACGGAACACGATCGGCAAAGACCTGGTGTGGAACTTCGTGAGACAGAACTGGGACCAACTCAGGAAAGAGTAAGATTTGTAGTATAAATATTCAGGCATGTTCATTTTGGGGGTTTGTAGTGAACTGCTTGTTCTGTTAGCGTTTATGTACATATTTGGGTTTTTAGATGATCAGATGTTTTTATTTTATTTTTAAGGTAGAATGTCCTTTTTCCTGCTCTAGAAAGTTTTAAATATACATACCACCCTTTACTTTTACGATTTGTTCTCAAGCTTTATTGTGTTTAAATTATCTAGAATTTCATATTCATTTCCATTTTTTATTAAATTGTCTGATAACACACTAAACTACACTTGGATGAGAGGATCATTCTACCTGACATATTCAATGCATTAAAATCTTACCACCCAGTGAATGCATGACTTATAATGGAACATTGTTGGAGTATTGAATGTTGTTCCTTTCATTAAGGCCAAGAAAAATATTCTTTAGTTTCTGTGGTCAAATATTTCTCACCAAAATTTTACAGGCTGTGTTTTTATTTAAATAGCAAGATTTATCTTTCTTTTTCCCATATCTATAGTAATGAAAAGGTGAAAAACTCAATTCTGAAAAAAATTATTTATTCCCCTTTTTAATGTTTGAAAATGATTGGCACTCAGCTTAATGCAGCAGTACCATAGAAACCGTTAAATTTTTTTTTGGCCTAACAGCAATATTAGTCTGCATGGATTTCAGGAAATGTACTGTTTATTACAGGTATTGGTGCATAACTTAGCTAATTGTTGATTAATTAATGTTGATGATGATGTTGATGCTAATGTTGATGAAGTTGATATAAATGTTGTTGATGTGAAGTTGATGTGTTTGCATGTTGAGCCTGTTGGTTTTCTAGCTATGGTGGGGGATCATTCTCCTTTGCTCGTCTTATATCTGGAGTCACAGAGTCATTCAATACTGAATTAGAACTGCAACAGGTACCTTCTACAATGATAAAAACAATTTCGAAAGGCATATTGACCTTAAGTCATTAAAGTATTTTAAACTTCAGTGAACAAAATCATTCTCTAAATGCAAGTCAGCAAAAAGCACATGATGTGAAAATTTGTAAATACTTTCAACTTAAAGGACATTTAGTTTGACTGGCTGATAATTTATTTAAAACATAGCCATTTTTCAATAGAGAGGAAGAATCTGACAGATGTATTTATTTGTTTTCAGCTGAGGGACTTCATAACGGGTAGAGATCTGGGATCAGCCACCAGGGCCGGGGAGCAGGCCATCGAGAAAGTCCAGGCCAATGTACAGTGGATGAAGAAGAATCTCCCCATCATACAGAAATGGCTGGACCGGACAGCACCCACAAAGCAGGTCAACAGAAACGTCCGCCTCCCTCGCTCCGTACTACCGGAACTATACACCCTAGAACTCTTCCCAGACCTCTACCAGCCCGACCCCAAAAATTTCACCTTCTCCGGAAATCTGACGCTCCTTGTGAACGTCACGGAAAGAACCAAGAATATCACGTTACACAGTAACATGATTACAATCGAGGAGAGCTCCATTGAAGTGAGGGCACTGGGAGGGGGAGGTAACTTGTTCAGCTCGTTGTCTCGCAAGGAAGAGCTCATGTTCTCGATCTTTAACTTGAACACCGAGCTGGTACCAGGACAGCAGTATGAGCTGAGCTTAAAGTTTTCTGGTCCCCTTAAGGATGACTTGGCTGGTCTCTATTATAGCACCTACACCAGCAACAATCAAACCAAGTAAGATGTCACATTCTAATGCAATTGTTTTGTAAAACACATTTTGATGGGATAATGCACTGATGCTTGAAGCAGTAAAACTGCTCTGCTCATGCCTGGCAGGTAAAACTCAGTTTGCGACCATTAAAATCAGCATTAACGGTCACAAATACCAAATTTGATTATAGTTATTCCCTAATTTAACAGTGTTCAGTACATTTTTGGATGGTTGCCTTCAATGTTATCTTTAGATTCTGATACTCTTTGAATAAATTTTTTAAATTATAATTTGCTTCTTATTTTCAGGTTTTTGGCCACTACTCAGATGGAACCTGTGGATGCCAGAAAATCCTTCCCTTGCTTTGACGAACCTGACATGAAGGCCAAGTTTAATGTCACCCTGGTGAGACGAAAGGATTTCAAATCCTTGTCCAACATGGAGATCCTGGAATATAAGGAAAAGTAAACAAACAATGATATTTATATGTACTTGAATTAAATTGATTGATTGATTGTGTAGACATAAAACAAGCTGAAATACAATAAAGGCATTAACCATTTGAATATTGTTTTTAAAAAAGTTTTCTTTTTTTTAAATAAATTTTGGTGATTTTACATTAAATATATTTTGTTTACTTAATTTCATGAAATGTTTCTAAGAAAAGTAGTAATTGTAAAATTTACTTGCAGGGGAAATAACTTTGTGGCAGATGTATATGACACAACTCCTCGAATGTCCACGTACCTATTAGCTTTTATTGTTTGTCAGTTTGAGAAGACCACTACCACCACCAAAAATGGAATAATTGTAAGTTTTTTTTCTTAACAAAATGATTGTACAAATATTAATGATAAACACTGTTATCCCCAAAAGTATGATTTTTAAGGACATTTTCTACAATCAAGCCTTTGAAGGTACTAATAAAGGAAACTGTTTAATTGATAATTTGAGATCGACTACCATGCATGTGCAGGTTATGATTAATCATTATAGGCAACCAAATCTGTACTGATTTTTTAGGACCTAGTTTTGTGGAAAACTCCTATACTTAAGATTTATTGATGCTATACATGGACAAGTCATCATTTTTGGTGATGTTCTTTCTTGGGTTCAACATGACCCACAAAAAGCACAAACAATTTGTTTCCCATGAACAATGATGACATTGATTCCACAGTACATTTTATGACTGAGGTATTGGTGTTTGTCAAATTAATATGGAAAGGGAGAGGGGTATGCCAGAAAAAATAATTGTGAAGGCTATCTTTAAAATAATGTTTGCTTGCCCTCTCCCAATGCAGGGTAAAATTATCAGATCAGTAAGTAGGTGGATAAAATCTTTTCTCCAGAAAATTTAAACATTTGTTGACTGGATAAGAGGAATAAAAAGAAAAAATATCTTGTCTTGGAATGTAAAAAAAAAAAGTTTAGAGTCAAGCTGTTTTTTACATGTAGTCAGTCGGTCAGGAGAGGGCAATCAAAATTTTTTTATAAAGATGGCCATATATTACATTTAAATTCCCGATTTGTCCATTACAGTACAGTGCCTGGTCTCTGCCTGAGGCCGTCAATGATACAAAGTTTGGTCTGGATGTCGGAAACAAAACCATCACTTATTATGAAGAGTATTTCGACATCCCTTTCCCACTGAAAAAACAAGGTATGTCTTTGAGATTTCTTTTATTAAGCCTAATTGATATTCATTTTTTCTTATTAAGTCGAAAAGGGAGGATGGTTCCATTACAATTAAGATTAATTTCTAGCCAGTATTTAAAAAAAATTAATTAAGGTATACCTTTACTCAGATGACCAAAAATTCCACTGATAAGAACGAAAAACCACCTATTGCACATTGTACACCAATGATTCTTGTGTTAAATTTCAATTTCAAATAACTAGGTCAATGACCTACTTTTCATGCTAGTGGCCCCTGAGTATTTCTCGGGAAATACCTCAATTTTTCACACTATGACCAATTTTTTCTATTCACACAAAACATTACAAGCAACTAAACTCTTTAAATAATTAAATATTATAGCAATGGAACAGCGTTGCTTCATATAAAGAAATGATTGGAGTTTGGGCCAGAAATGTGATAATTATAACAGTCCGAATTTCCTCTGTCATATTTATATTTTTTCCCCATTTTAAATCGAATATTACAAACATCTGACTGATAAAGACTCTAAACTATCTATAGCCTCGGATTACTTTTGATGCCCTAATTCTCATGGTATTAAAATTATATGGGGTCAATGATCAAATTATTGAGAAATATTGTCTGGAATGGTTTTTGTACATATTTTGGAATTTCTTTATTTCGTAGCATTCAATTATTTGAAATAATTTATGAGCTTTAACACATATAATATTTGCAAAATGATGTTTAAAAATAAATTTAACCTTTACCTCGTGATTATTATTGAAAGAAATGAAAATTTTTGACCAAAATGAAAAATTGAAAATTTAGTCCGAATTTCCTCTGCATTACCATTCACTGACTTTTGTACCTGTATATTTTCTTTAAATAATAAAATATTAAATTTTTAAATTGATTTCGATTTAAAACTTGCTTATTTTATCCATTTAGAACAATTTTTGATTTAACATATTATACTTTATAAAATTTCCTTTCTGTTATCTGAAACCTGAGTAAACGTCATCCTTAAATGGGAACAAAATTATACATTGAAGGGTATGATATGTATCACTCTGATTATAATTCATGGAATTTGCTTAATGGGGAAAATGTCAGTTTTTAACGTATAATTTAAATTGAACTTTCAAATATGACTTTTTTTTTCAGTTAAAACTTATGTGTAATGATTTGTTGACTACTTCGTCTGGATTTACAGCTCCACTACAGTTATATTAAAAGTTGTGGGACTTTCCTCATGATTGTTTATCATTTATTGTTGAAGAAACTGACAGTTTATCATCTTATGCTAATTATGCTGATAATATTTACTGATATTTTCTGTCTTTAGACATGATCGCTTTGTCTGACTTTGCAGCTGTGGACAGTCAATAGGTTCATTTTTTCAACACGTTCAAGTCCCTACATAACTTTTTCTGTTTTATTTACAGACATGATCGCTATTCCTGACTTTGCTGCTGGAGCTATGGAGAACTGGGGCTTGATTACGTACAGAGAAACGGCCATGTTGTTTAAACCAGGAGTCTCCTCAGAAGGAAATAGACAGAGAGTCACCACTGTAATTACTCATGAACTGGCTCATCAGGTAATTATAATCACTGTTACAGAACTAGCTCACCAGGTCATTATAGCCACTGTAATTACCCACAAACTGGCTCACCAGGTAATTATAGCTACTGTTACAGAACTGGCTCACCAGGTCATTATAGCTACTGTTACAGAACTGGCTCACCAGGTCATTATAGCTACTGTTACAGAACTGGCTCACCAGGTCATTATAGTCACTGTAATTACTTACGAATTGGCTCATCAGGTAATTATAGCCACTGTAATTACTCATGAACTGGCTCATCAGGTAATTATAGTCACTGTAATTACTCACGAATTGGCTCATCAGGTAATTATAGTCACTGTAATTATTCACAAACTGGCTCACCAGGTAATTATAGCCACTACAGTTACTCATGAATTGGCTCACCAGGTAATTATAGCCACTACAGTTACTCATGAATTGGCTCATCAGGTAATTATAGCCACTGTAATTACTCATGAACTGACTCACCAGGTAACTATAGCCACTGTAATTATTCACAAATTGGCTCATCAGGTAATAATGGCCAGTTTAATTATTCACAAACTGGATTATCAGGTGATTACAACTTGCAAATCAAAGCCAACTCATCATGTAATTAAAGCAACTGTAAAAACCTTCCAAACTGGTTCATAAAAGTCACTGTAACTATTCACAAATTGGCTCATCAGGTAATTATAGCCAGTAAATAGAACTGGCTCATCAGGTAATTATAGCCACTGTTACAGAACTGGCTCATCAGGTAATTATAACCACTGTTATCACTCGGGCTCATTGAGTGAACTTTGTGAAAATAAAAACCCTTTTAAACTCCACCCAAAATTTTGTATCAAGCAAGGATATACCTGATTTTCTCCGAAAAATGCGAAATTTTTACATAGGATTACAGTACATTGTATTCTTAAACAAATTACTTAGTCATGTACATACCTGTATATTTTATCATTGTGTTTTTTACAGTGGTTTGGTAACCTGGTCACTATGAAGTGGTGGGATGACCTTTGGCTCAATGAAGGGTTCGCGACCTTTGTCGAATATATGGGAGCAGATCATCTCTTCCCAGATTGGAAAATGGTTTGTTACCTTCTAAAAGAAAACATAATATGTCAGTCTAACTGTATTGGAATATTTCTATGACATGATAAACACAACAGTTTGGCTTCTGTGTCAATTTATCTGTTACAGTAAAATAGGAGTTTGAAAAAAATCATATTGTTGGAGTTTTTTACTGTATACATGAAACCTGATTTGATCTATGTTTACAAATGAATTGTCTACATTAGAGTTCATAAGGTTAATATCTTTATTGAAATGACATTATATTATATATTCAGATTCTTTCCTTTTCATAGTGGGATCAGTTTATTCTAAGTGAGCTGTATTCTACATTCAGCATTGATGCCTTTGTTACATCTCATCCAATATATGTGCCTATAAAAACAGTTGATGAAATGAATGCTGTATTTGATACAATATCATACTCCAAGGTTTGTAATAGAATGATCAATGCCATATGGTATGCACTTTTATTATCTCAATCATACTGATGTTTTACAGTATAACCAATGAAAAAGAAATTTGCTGATTCTCTGATTATATATCTCATTTCATCTTGTGACAGTGAATGCAACGTATTTTGTAAAGAAAGAACATTGGACCTGAAAAACTTTAAAAATCTGAAATTGGAACAACTGTGACTTATAAGAGAAATCTCAATTTTTCATTGATTCACAAGAATTTCTCTTGACTTAATATTTTTGTAATTTTTTAAAGCTTTTCTTTTTCTTTGAAAGCAAAGTAGTTCACCAGATTTATCCTTGTTTTTTAAGGGAGGAAGTATCATCAGAATGATGAGATTTTTCTTGGGGGAGGAGAACTTCAGAAAAGGCCTCAATGTAAGTACTAGAGTATGCTGAAGAAATTTTGTTCTTAATCTTGTGCGGGAAATTCCTCTCATCAGAGACCAAATTTCCTTTATGAAGCCTTGCTTGTTACAATTTTCCTGTAGAAAAAGCATGAATATCTGAATGTCAGAAGTTCTAGTCCATTTGCAAATTCATATACTCTTCTAACTCTTTAGTAAGAAGTATAGAACAATTTTGTTTTCTTTTAAGAAATATATTCTTCAACTAAAATAACTACAAGCAAGTTTACAGATATATTTATAGTTGTGTTAGACAATTTAAACTGTTTCATTATTTATGAAGGGTGTGTTATTCTTTGCAGCTATATTTAGAGAGTAGGAAGTATGGGAACGCCTTCCATGATGACCTCTGGGATGCCATGGATACAGTGAGTTTCTTGATAAAATTTTTAGAAAAGTTAATAGAATGTCAAGGTCATTTTTGATTTCTAATGTCAAGGTCATTTTACTTCCAATAAAAACTTCATGAAACTTTATTTTCTACTCCAATTTGAGGAATATAATAATTCTAGAGTAAAATGTGTTATCTTTCGCACTGAATCTAATTTAGCATGTTTGAGATGGAGGCTTAAAGCAAACAAATCAAAATTTAGAAAAAAAGATGTTGATGCTGATGTTAATGCATATGAACTGTTTTTCTCCAAAATACAGATTGTTCAGCAGAAAAATTTACAGTATCCAACATCAATTCGAGCAATAATGCACACCTGGATCAAACAAATGAATTACCCTGTTGTCACGGTAACAGTACCACGAAATGGAGTTGTCATGGCAACACAGAATCGGTTCCTAAGAAACCCTGATGCCAAAGATCCACTTGTTTACATTTCTCCATTTGGGTATGTCAGCTTTTCATTACTATGGGAAAAAATTTGGTTTTAGTCCACAAGAATTCTTTTCTTATATCATTGGATTGATGAATTGGTGAGATTTTTATGTAGACTTGTGGAGTGTTATGGTTAATTTTAGCTATAAATGGTGGGTGCCATTGACCTACACGACAAAGACGGAGAAGAATTTTAAAAAGAACAGCAATGATGTGAAATGGTTCAATACAACAAGTCAAGGTAAAAGATCGGACTAACTACACATACATGTATTTAACATTGTAAGGGGAATTACGGAGCAAAAATAGAGTTTAGAGCACGTTTGAGAGTTCATTTCGAAAATAAAACAAAAAATGATAAGAAAAATTGATTTTCTGAATTTAGTAAAATTTGATAGTAAATTTATAATACACCAGGATAAAAATATCTTAAAGTTTTTATCTGCATATCCTCATTCACATGCCACTTTTTTTGTATGCATTTGATGAAAGAATTTTACTTAAGAAACTAGAAATTCTTGTCTTTATGACTTCTTTATATACAAATTTTACTGAAAAAGGGTAACACTCCTTGAATGTGCAGATTTCAAATACATGTATTACAATACTGGATTGATTTTTGTGATGTCCATGATTTTGTTTCAGAATTCGCTGACCCCTCTGTGAAGACTTCTGATTGGATAATAGCTAATACAGACCAATATGGCGTCTACAGGGTCAATTATACCGAGGCAAACTGGAGAGCTCTGATAGCTCAACTCAATCAAAATCATACTGTAAGTACACACAATACATACACAGGGGTATTTTTTTAAGTGCATTAAAAAGTACATAATAGTTACTGTAGCTTATTAAGTTTAATTGATTTGATTATTATGATACATAGATACTTATGTTTTTGTTTGTGAATACAGGTCATATCCACTATCAATCGTGCTCAGATAATTAATGATGCCTGGAGCTTTGCAAGGTAAGAATAGCTTAACTTTAAAGAATAGTCTTCGGCAATGAGAGGAGAACATTTTGGTTTTAGCTTTTGTCTAAATGAATTAGATCAAACTGAAATTTGGCAAATTATTGACCTTGACCTAAAACTGAATCTAGAACAAAGTTGAAGGTCACAGAGCAATGAATAACTGGGGATATAAATCTCAAATCCGCTATACAAAAATCATTGAAATAAGTTTTAACTTATTAATTAAAACAATATAATGAATTATTTTCCTTACAGATCTAACCAGTTAGATATGAGTGTGGCTTTAGAGACAGTAGACTATCTATCTAAAGAGAGGGACTATATTCCCCGTCAGGCGGGGGAGGGACAGCTGTCCTACATAGACACCATGCTGTCTCTGACCAAGTACTACGGAGATTTCAGTGTAAGCTTTTAACCCCTGACAGCCATTGTACCCCAATCTTCTCTCGTCATTTACTCCTTTCATAGTTGTGAGGGAAAAAACTTGTCACTTGTTTAAAAGGAATATATTTTGTATGCATATTTTAACCACATTATTTTTTGCCATTTTACACAAAAAAAATGGATGGCTTACTTTTTAGGTCACCTGAGTAAACTCAGGTGACCTATTGCTATCTGTTTTCGTCCGTCGTCGTGCGTCGTCCGTCGTGCTTTAACATTTGGACATTTTCAGCTTCTTCTCTGCAACCACTGAACCAATTTCAACCAAATTTGGCACAAAGCATTTATGGGTGAAGGGGAACAAAAATTGTGAATTTCATGATCCCTGCCCCCCTAGGGCCTGAGGGGTGGGGCCAAAACCACTAAAATTAATGCAATCTTTAAAAATCTTCTTCTTTACTCCTGGACATCAAGGAGTCAAACTGTTTGCATGATTGTAATCAGCAATGAGTCCTCTACCAAAATTGTTAAATTCATGGCCCTGGGGTCAGGGGTTCTAGTGCTAGGGCGGGGCTAAATAAGTAGGTAGTGAAAATGCATTATTTCTTTGAAAATCTTCTTCTCTGCTCCTGGGTATTAAATAAACCAACTAAGTACATAGTTATGATGAGCAAGAGTGCCTCTACCAAAATTGTGAATTTTATGGCCCCAGGTCGGGGGTTCTGCTGTTAGGGTTGGGCTCTAATTGATTATATAGTGAAAATACATAAATTCTTTGAAAATCTTCTTCTCTGCTCCTGGGTATTAAATAAACTAACTAAGTACATAGTTATGATGAGCAAAAGTGCCTCTGCCAAAATTGTGAATTTTATGGCCCCAGGGTCAGGGGTTCTTGTTTTAGGGTGGGGCTTTAATGATTATATAGTGAAATGCATGAATTCTTTGAACATCTTATCCTTTGCTCCTGGTTAATATACTAATGATCTAATTAAATATTTAAGGCCAGGATTTATTTTATTATCAGTTTTACAAACCCTCCGCTTAAGGTTTTGAATTTTCTTTCCGATGTCAAATTTGAGTCGGGATCGAGATTTCAAATTTACGAACTCGCACTTCCGGTTTTAAGATGAAACGGCGGGTAATGAAGATAGCTTGGTTTAGTGTAAAATTCATCGATACGAGTGCCATTCAAAACGTTTCACCCGTTCAAAGGACAAATAAAATGCTGACGAATTTGTTGCACAATGATATGCTGGTGAGATAATTATGTATTCGTTTCAAAAGTATCTGTAAACTATTTTCCTCCCCCAGGTTTTAAACTGCCCGTGGTAGCTATTGCATATTGCCAGCGACATTGTTTAGGTCTCTGTTATAGCTTACAGTCTAAGCATCATTCTTCAGAAAAGGGTTGCTTATGCATCAGATGTAATGAATAAAACTATGGGAGAAGTTAAGTCCATTTGAGGAAGAAATAAACAATAACCTGAAGAAATAAAAAAAAATTCAACTATTAAAAAGCAAGAATATACAAATATTTACAGGCATGTAGTATCATTTGTATCAGCCAGAAAAAATTATTTTACACTTAATTGAAAAAATGTTCACCCTACTCACCAATACTCCCTGTCTGTTTTATGATAGGAATTATAATTTTAGGCATCAAGTAAATTTTAGAACATTGTCTACACATTCACCTAACATATATTAAAAAAATGAAGATACATTGAAAGACTTTTAAAGAATTGAATTTTTAAAAATATATTTTGACCAACATCACAAAATTTATTTAACTGGCCCAAACTGGCAGATGATGAAATAAGCAATTAAATGTTCTACTTTCCTATTTGTAAGCATTATGTGTCCAGTGGTAAGGACCCTATTAGAATAGCATAAAAAAAGAATGTACAAATGTTAATAATTGATTTATCAAATTTTTTTTATTTCCTTCTCCTTCTGGACTTTTTTATTCTCATGTTCATAACTAAACTTAAACATAAAAAAAAATGCTGGCCTTATAATGAAGAAAGGGGCCTCTTTCACAATAGATAATTTCAGGGCCGCTGGGTCAGGGGTACCAGGGGGTACTTTGACTAAAAATAAATTAATGCTTTGAAATTTGCCCTTTGAAAAGCAATGGTGCCTCCTTCAAAATTTGTGAATTTCATGGCTTTTGGATTAAAACACAAACCAAATACAACCGCTGGAAAGTTGTTACATGATACTCAGGTGACCTATAAGGCCCGTGGGCCTCTTGTTATTCACCCAGACACAGTTATGTTAAAGAGATAATGTCATTTGAATTAATCTTGAATTCTCTTCCTTTTAACTAGTGTAAAGGGGGCAAACTTAGATTATTCCACCTAATAAACGAATTTCATGTTTTTATTGACGTGCAGAAAAAGATGCAGAATCTAGTGAGAGACATTTACAATGAGATTGGTTTGAACAATACAGGAGCCACACATTTAGAATCGTAAGTCATTTATTAGTTAGTAACATGGAATATGATATGTTATTTGTAGTTATCTATTTATTTGCGGATTAAGTCTTGATTTCAAAGAAGCTTAAACAAATTCTCTGAAACGAGAAAAAAGAGGGAAATTTAATATAATTGTGTGTACCCGGTATTTATTAACCTAGAGTTTGGATAGATGTACAATTTGGATTATTTTTATCTGTTTTACAGGTATATGAGATCCAATGTTGCCATCACAGCCTGCTCCTATGACATCCCTGAGTGTCTGGCTGCAGCTGTGAAACAGTTCAAACAGTGGATGGACCAGCCCAGTAATAATCAGTAAGATTCATTGATTACTTATGAGTAGTCTACTATAGTTTTTATAAAAGGCATGTGAAGGAATTCACATGTCTGTCCTGCCTTATGACAAATCTTTTATCAGTTTAAAAACTGATAAAAATTATTAAATTAATGAAAAAATTTACTTGATAAACACTTTATAAAACTAATGTATCAGAAGGAGTTTGGTTTGTTCCTGAGTCAGACAGAAGCCTGATGGTAAAACAGGATTAGGAGAGACATTTCCAAACCTAAATATACAGCAAAAAAACTTAAGGGTGGGGTTTGGGTGGGCACCATAGTATACTGCTACCAGTCTGTCAATTTAACTTAATACAGATGTATTAAAGTTATAAAATAAGCATTTGATTTTGAGCTGTTACATGTATTAGTGGGTGTGTGTTTATATGTTTTTTAAGTTATCAACATTTTAATATTTTCCTGTATTTCTTTGTTCTACAGAATTGACCCTGGACTGAAATACACTGTCTACTGTACAGCCATTAAAGAGGGTGGACAGAAGGAGTGGGATTTTGCCTACAATCAATACAAAACCTCCCAAGTAGCCTCAGAAAGAGCCAAGATCCTAGCTGCCCTGTCTTGTACCAAGGTTCCCTGGCTTCTTCAGAGGTATGCGTAGTCAAACACGGCTATTAAAAAAAAGAATCACCATGCATGGTAAAATAAAAGTTTTTGGAGCTGATAAAAGTCATGTAACAGTAAGTTACTGTATCGGACACTATAATGAAGTGAAATTTGAGGTCATTTCTTAAATAGTAGGAAATGAAATACCCTAAAAGCTTGAAAATAAGACGGATTTAATAATAAGCCGGTTTTGAAAATAAGCCACCTATTTCTTGCATTAATAATTACTCGAAAATAAGCCTGTTTTGAAAATAAGCCGGTCATGACAATGCCTTAATTAAACACAGTATCAGTTTAATTATTTATTATAAATATTCCATGACATGACATTAAATTATGATTTAATTCAAAATTAAAAATAAAATGTTTACAACTGTAATAAAAGCATAAAAATTCAATCAAAGTCCAATATTTTGATTAAAAATGTTTGTTTCAGTTAGAATACCATGCGTAGCCTAAAAACCATAAAAATTCAAAGTCCACTATTTTGATAAAAACTTACATGTATTGTCTTAGTAAAAATACTATGCGCAGAATATTATGTCTAAAACTATAAAATAAAGGCTGTATTTAAACTGTCAAACTCTGAATTTTAGCTCAGCCAGTGGAATGTCCTCATCTGAATCACTTTCACCGTTTTTGTTCAAAATAAAACAGCTAAGTTCAGTGTCTTCAGTCTCCTCTTTCTCTGGCTCAAACGTATAATTGTCAATGCCTGTGAAGTGAATAAGATGGTCCTCACTGCCATCTGTTTTGTTTGAAATTCCACAGCTTTTAAAGCACTTCACCACAGCGGCCATTTGTTCCTTGCAGGTTTCTGACCAGGCTTCCCCTACCCATTTAGTCATAAGGATTCGCCTACAATTTAAATAAAATACATTCAAATCATTAACTAAATGTGTTTTTGAATTGTTAGAATACCGGTATCTACACACTTAAAGTAAAATGCACAGCCTTAAAACAGGTGTGAAAAACTATTCAATGTAAAAACAACACAGAGCTAACGTTTGATTATTTAGTAATTACCTTTCTGAAGCTGTGAAAGTGCCCTCAAGCCATTGTTTTCTGTTTGCATGCACATGCTTGTCCGTTATTTCCTCAATCTTTTTCTTCAATGGAGCGTGGAACACTCTATCAAGGGGTTGAAGTTCGCTTGTACATCCGCCTGGAATTAACGCTAACGTTGTGCCGATCTCTCGGAACTTTGATTTTACTGTTTCCGTATTTTGCGCTCTGTGTACATCGGCAACTAACATTGTTGGTTTGTACTGGATTGCTAGAGTTTTCCACATATTATTTATCCAAAACAACATAACTTGCTCGTCACACCATGCATTTTGTTGAAATTGAACCACAACGCGACTGTCATACTTCACTTTTTCACTGAACGGAATTCGCTGGCCTGTTCCCCTGAATATAACAAGCGGCTTTATGCGTTTAATTCCGTCCGAGAAAATACAACATTGTAATGTTGCCTGTCTGTAATCAAGTCCGGATTTTTTTGTTCTGCACCATACCTTAGTAGCACCAGTTGTTTCATATGTTTTCCCCTTATTTAGATCAAACGGGAGTGGAGATTGATCCATGTTGGCAACTAATTTAAAGCGACCATTAGGGTCGGTGCAGTCTCTGCTTGCATTTTTTCGGATAAATTTATGGAAACTGTTGAAGGCTTCAATTTTAGCGTCTGGTGGATTTTGAGCTCCACTGGTTGGTGCTCGATACGATATATTGTGCCGTTTTTTGAAATTTTTAAACCAGCCGCTACTGCATTTGAAGTCAGAATCTGCGAGTTCAGCTGCACGGGATTTGAACCACCATGATTTGGCCTTAAGTCCGTCCTCCCGAATTTCTTTGAATTCACGATGTAGTTGTCTTTCCATCTCAGGATAAAGCGATTTCCGTCCCGAGCCGTGCGATTTCGAACCTTTTGGAGTTTCTTGTAGTTTTATTTCGGACTTAATCCATCGCCGCACATTGCTTTCATCAATTCCAAAAAACTTAGCGGTTTCGATGATACGGTTTTTTGTATTCCCAAGTGACAATTCTTTATAATGTTCTACAACCCGAAGTTTGAATTCTCGGTTATAACTTTTCCTAGGAGTCGGAGTGCGACTACCATTCTCCATTGTTAAAAGCTCACTGTTTTAAAAACTGAAAAACGTGCGCCCAATATATTAGGCCTTTGAACACTTTTCATTTAATTGTTTACCTGAGTTTACCTGGATAATCTATTTTTAGAACGAATTGGTAGATTTCAATCGATCGATTACAATTTATTGTATTGATAATAAGCCTTGATTATGCTCTCACCGCTTACCAGATTTTTGTACTGAAAATAAGCCGTGATTTGAAAATAAGACGGTTTTGAAAATAAGCCCCTACTTTCTTACCAAAACTTAAAATAAGCCGCGGCTTATTTTCAAGCTTTTAGGGTATTAGTTCTTTTTTCAAATTTTCCATTTTTTCAAGTTCAGGTCAACTGACCTGACTGCTTGACAAATGGATAGTATCTTTTTTTTTAAATCATCCAGATCTATAATTAGTTTGCTGTATTTTATCAGTTAAGATATGAAGAAAGATACAAGATATTCAAGCATATTTGATCTTTGTACATCTTTTCAGTTTACATTTTGATTTTATCCCGTAGATTTTTGGAGTATGCTGTAACTGACGGTGAGGTCAGGAAACAGGACGGTACGAATGTCATCTCGTCAGTAGGCAGTACGATGATTGGTCGACCCATAGCCTGGAACTTTATCAGATCCCGCTGGGATTATATCATGAATGAGTAAGTCGTGTTTGCTTCTGGTCCAAGATGATGTTATATTTGGTATCAGTTATATCAACTGACATACTAAAAAGCTTGTATAGTTTCTATTGATATTAATATTCGAGTTTCACATACATGTATATAGAGCTCAGTGTAAACAAGGAAAAATTGTAACAGAAACCTACCCATGGAAGTGATCAACTATGTTTACATAATACACATATGTTTTTCGAAACAGAAAAAAAAATTTGGCAGACTATTAATTTTTTTTTTCGATCTCAGCCACAATTAAAAATTATGTTTCTGGAGTACAACATCACTCTCAGTTTTGGCTATAAGACAAAATGTCTTCTATGTTTTATAGATACAGTGAAGGGCAGTGGAATGCGGGACGCTTTATTAAGAGTATTTCTGGAGCATTTAACACGGAGTACCAGCTACAACAGGTATAGACTATAAATATATACAGGAAATGAAACTATTATTATTCTTAAGAGAGACTTTTATGAGAACTTTTTTACCAAGATGATGCCAATTCTATTCTTTTTTTTAAAAAATCTTTTCAGACATTTATTTATAAAATGGCACCGGTATGACATGAAGTTGAAATAAAAATAGAAAATGGATTGTATCCATTTAATGTCTTTCGCACCAATGCATGAAAAATTCAATTTTTTTTAATCTTTGGAATAACTTCGCACATTTTTTTTTTTGAATTTACAAAACAGCAGTTAAATTTTTTTTTTTGGAATTTATAAAACAGCAATTATAAAAAGTAAAAAAAAAAAGAAGTGAGGGGCTCTTAATCAGTATGAAATGCTAGTACATTGTATGTTTGAAAAGCACAACACCAGAATTGTCAATCATGTCGAAAGATTACAAGAATCTGGTCTCTTTTTTTCCCCAGCTGATTGATTTTGGCAAGGCACACCCTGATCTGGGTCGTTCTGCCCGCGCCTATGACCAAGCTGTAGAGGCTGTTCAATCAAACGTTCAGTGGATGAAGAAAAATATGAACATTGTCATTAAATGGCTTGAGAAAAAATAGAAAATGACTTTGCTAAATAAGTTGTTTTATTTTAAAAGACTTACATTACCATCATTTATATATATATTTTAGCATTATTTTGTGTGAGTCCAATAATCAGATTTTTAAAGGAGAGAAGCATAAGCTTATGTTAATACCTCGTAGTTTTTTTGGTATATTTTAAAATTCTGTTTAGAAAGAATTTCATGTGTGACTGTAGAAATGAAATGCATGTCTATGTTTTCTGAAAGTAAGGATGATGTTCATTCATTCGATATTAGTTGCTTATGTTATGCTTAATATTTCAAACTGTGTATATACTGGTTATAAATGTACAATAAATTGTTATACATGTACCATTGTAATTTATAAGTATTTTAATTCCTAAGGCTTTTAATTACCAATATTGAATTGGAGCTTGAAGATAGATAGGATGTACAGTGTACATGTAAAGCCCCTTGTTCCAAGTTTAATGAACCAAAACTTTGATCTTGACCATGTATTCTGTATGATTGGTACATTGTTTTTCACATTTGTCTTTTTGTGATAAGATTTTTAGGGCCCCGCAAGGATTTGCGGGTGCCCTATAGTAATCACTCTGTCTGTCCGTCCGTCTTGCTGTCCGTCTGTCATTCATCTGTCCACAAATTTTCTGTTTTTTTTCTAGTAACCTTTTAATGGTTGCCCAATTAAGTTCAAATTTGGTATGGTAGTTCAGTAGGCAAAAAGACATATTTTGATGCTAAGTTTGTTTTTCTTTGTCCTCTGGTTTGGAGCTGGGGTGGTGGGGTAGATTCCTTAACTTTATATAAGAATGAATTGGCAAAGAGAGATAATTTCTTAAAATGTTCCCATTGCAAACTGAATACTGCAAAGAATGAGTCCCTTGGGGATTAATTAGCTTTCCTCCTGAAGAAAATCCAAAGCATTATCTTTATCTGTCACATTGAGATTAATTACCACCTCTGTCTGCAAATGAAGTTTGCTTTGAAGATAAGTCCATTTGCAATGCTATGAACACTCTGAAATTTGGATTGAAGTATACAATGTAAATGTTTTTACTTTATTTTTGTTGAAATACCCTACACAATGAGTTCTGATTTCATTGAATTCTTAAAAACCAGAAATAGATTAAAGAAGATATATTTTTTTTATTTTTATTTATATATTTATTTACTTTTTTCTTGCTTCAAGTAAATTCAAGAAAATTATTAATTTTTAAGGTAGTAGGATAAAAACCTCATTCTATCATTACTGAAAAAGTTATTATAAATTCAGAAGAAAATGATGAGAGAGAAATACAGTTAATCCCTTGGATTAATTATTTAGTCCACTGCAGAAAATTTAGAAGGCTTATATTTATCTGTCGCTTTAAGATTAATGAAAACCTTTGTCTGCAACTGCTGTTTGTTTTTAAGTTAAGGTCAAGCCTTCATGATATGTATTTGCGTTCATTGAAGGCTGGCATTTTATATAACACAGGCTTCATTATTGTTTAGATATACATTCAGTGTTGAGTTGTTCTTTACTGCCTTATGTAAATACAAGGATATTATTTTACAGGTTTTTGGATATTCAGGAGTTATCTTGAAATTTCAAGAATAACAGTTGCTGTTTCTTATTTGTCATATATTTTTGAATCATTCCATAAGCTGCACCCTTATAATTCTACCCCATGGCGGGGCCCTTGCTGACTGGTCAGTTTTCTAGTTATTGAATGTCAACATTAATTCATTGATTTTTGACCACTATTTGAAAAAAAAAAAACATTTACCTTGGCATTCAGCGTCCATATAGGGGCATCACCCCCCCCCCATTAATGCTTTACAATCACGTCTTTATTATAAGTAGGATTTTCTGTTCATTGGAAATTACGTAAAACAGTTTATACACAAAATTGAAAAGTTGCAGGTCTTTAAATTGAGAACTTAAAATTAATTGCCCTTGTCATGGTAGGCTTCATTAGTCAGATGAAAAAAAAACCTTACTGCTAAATAGACCTTATTGCTGAATAAAGATATCGGTATATTTTGGTATATATGGTTAAATATATTCTCAGATGGGGCAAAAAAACAGCAATCAATCAGCTGAACTGCACTCTGAACAGGGAGAACGGTGACATAAATTTCAAAAATCTCTCCCTCTGACTCATCGCAGTTAAATATTTCGCCAAAAAATTGTATAAATGAATGTAGAACATAAAATTAATGTATTGCACATGTCACCGACGACATTTAGTGCTGGTGCTCAGTGTTGCCCTCTCTACAGGCTCTTATTGTCATTGCAATTGCTGGCAATATGTACAGGACGACAAAAGGTACCATCACAAGTTTTAATTAAAAAAGGAATCAAGGATATTATCATTATAGTTTGAAGCATATCGGTGGTTTAATTTTCATTGCAATCGGCAACATTTAAAATATATATTTGTATATATACATGTAAGTATGTGGTCGCCTGCGTGACACAGTGGTTAGAGCGTCTGCTCTAGAGTCGCGAAGTAAGGAGTTTATGCTTACCTCACGGGTTCGAATCCCACTGTGGGATGTGAACACTGGTCCTACGGATGAGGCCGTATAAACCGAGGTCCAGTGTCACATTAGGTGCATGCACAAAAAAGATCCCTCCCTGCTCAATGGCTCAAAGTTATATAGGACAAAAATTTGCAGCTCTCCACCGGCAAGTGGTGGCATCTCCATATAAGTGAAAAATTCTCGAGAGGACATTAAACAATATACAGTTAATCAATCATACATGTATCAGTGTCCTGGGATTAAATAAATCATACATGTACACATTTCAAACGTATACCATGTGTGAATTGAAGTAGCACAAATTACGTCCTTAGGGGACTAAAAGTTTCTTCCTTTTCTGTCCATCTGTCTGACCGTCTAGTTGCCCCTTTATCTGTCTGTTTATTCAATTAAATTGTCTTCTGCACATTTTCTAAACGCTTGCAGATACTAATTTTTGGTATGTGAAATCACCAAGTCCGAGGTGGGATCAGCCGACTAAGAGTAATAAGCATCCTGTGTTGACCGATCACACCCGATTGTATGCATGCTGTTTCACGTTGCAGTCAGGAATGTTTCACTCATATAGAGTCGTTTATTCTCATCAAAATTATGTAACTCCATGTTAAATTTCATTACAGGTATAAAATTCTTTTAATTTTTTGCAGAACAGAACAAAATAATTCTTTAGCACTGGTAAATTCGAAGGGCTACAAATTTAGTCCTTTTCTAGGCATTCAAAAACCATTGAGCACAGAGCCAAGTCAAATTTTGAATAAAAGATTAAGGCCTAAAGAAAGGGCATGAAACAAGTCAGCTAATGTACGACCTAATCATAGGTTATATTTGCTAAATATATATATATATGTCATTTTATTTACATTCAGGGTAATTAAATTTCTGTATGATATCCATTAGAAATCCACGACGTTCAAATCTCTATAACACACGCGAAACCTTGTCACCACGTTGTAGAATACACAGTAAGAACTATATGCATGTTCTATAATCTAGGAACACCAAAATGTTCAATGTTCCTGTTAAATTAACATAAAAATACCACAAATGTGCGTTTAAAATCAATTTGTCACTTTTTCCTTCGCAATGTTTGCGTTATTTATACGTACTTTGCAACATTACAAACGGCTCTTACGTCTATTAACCACGCCAGGTTTGACCGGCGTTAAATTTACATGAAAGATTAATGAAATAAGCAGTTATGAAGAAAGAAAATTAGAGAGTGTAAAAATAAGCATTGAATTCATATTTTTGGATGTTTTCGGACCTATAACACACCTGGCCGTGCCGACAAATTATCATACCGCGCTGGAACGCGCGGTATTGAATTTGTCGGCACAGCCAGGTTTGTTATAGGACCGAAGTCCAAAAATATGAATTCAATGCTTAAATTACAACCATAAATTTTACAAAATGCCAAAACGAGGTTGTTGAAATCCTGTAAGATCAACTTATCTGTCAGTAGCTGCCTTGGTAAACAAATTATCGTACTCAGAGCATGCTCTTTGGCATCGAATAAGTTTGGAGATATTAACACCATATTTAGGTGATTTTTAAAAACAATAAAATACTTTCTTTGTTTGTTATTACTGGAATGAACGGAAGCAGCTGCTGCAGAAAAAATACATAACCCGCGTAAGCGGGTTATCTAATTTTTTTCTGCAATAGCTGCGACCGTTCATTCCAGTAATAACAAACAAAGAAAGACATTTTATTGTTTATATTTATATCTGTTTAAATTATCATTTTAAGTAGGATTAAAAATATTAATTATTGTGTTAAAGATGCGAACGTCTTTGTACGTTTCATTGATGGAACGGCCACTGATCAAGAAATCTGTACAGGTGATATGCCTAATGTAGTTCATGCAGTGATGAACGCAATGGGTTTTCTTAAGAAATAAAGAAGAAAATATTCAGTGGATGTAAATATAGTGAGATACTAGTCGATTAATAATATAATTTGATTCTTTTTTATCATACACTTTTATTGTTAATTGACCTTGATCGTTTATTGCCAGTAAAACCATCCCAAAATTATATTTAAAAATGCGGCAGAATCTGTAGTTTTTTTTTTTATTTCAGGTTCACTCAGATATATTGAATCGACGTAAAAGTACATAATTGAACAATAACACATCGTCAATATATTTACTTGTCAAGTTGAAAGCCATGGCAAGTGTATTCTTCTCATGTTTTTGAATAAATTTTGCTTCATAGGAATAAAAAGAAAACAGATTAGCTAAATAGAAATCACAAAAAGTGTTCTTGGAAATTCTAACAGTTTGTTGAAAGATCGGTCCCCGAGGACTACTTTAATGTTTTAAATAAGGAACCCAGCACCCCTTTTAAGGAGGCTAGGGGATCAACAAATTATTTTTTTATTAACTACCTGATATAACTTAAATTTTGGGATATGATATCTTAAGCTGTCAACTACTTGGCATAGAAAAATTTCATAAATTTTTAACTCTTCTGAGCCAAAGGCTCAAAGAGCTAATGCTATGGCCATTTGTGCGGTGTGCGTAAACTTTTTAGAATATGGGCCATAACTCAAGAACCCCTTGGCCAATCATTGTCAAATTTGTCACAAGGTATCCTTGGCCCAAGGGCTACCATTTGTATTAAAAAAAGGGTTGGGACCCTTAAACAAGGGGAGACAATCAGGAAAATAAAACCAAAAGTACTGGTTCTTAAAGAAATCTTCTTCTCCATAACCACCAAGCAGATTTTCACCAAACTTACATATAAGCATTAGGATATGTTGAAGATATAAACTGGCACGGGAAATTACCTTAGGGCAAAGGGTGTGGTCTCAAGGTCACT